TGGTCTGAGCAAGTTCAAGGACTAGAGTTGTGACTCAGTGGTGGAAGAGTTGCCTAACATGTGCAAAGCCCCTGGTTTGATCCCCAGCATAGTGTGTAGGCAATTTCAATTAGATTTCTAGCAAGTTTTAATTTTTTTTTAATTAGAAAAAGTCCATAAATTTTACATAAAAGGACAGATACATAGAATAGCCAATAAAAATTTTAATATGAATGATGGGGAGATTTTCTTTGCAGTTTTAAAATATCCTGTAAAGCTACTGAAATTAAATCATGTCTTTGGCAAAGTGCGTGACAAAGAAAATATTAGTTCAGTTTAATGACATAAGAATGTATTTTTTTAAATTGAAAATTCATATAATATATTCTGATCATAGTTTCCCCTCCACCATCTCCTTTCAGATCCTCCTCACCTCCCCACCCATCTAACTCTACACCTTTTTTTTTCTCTTTAGAAAATGAGCAGGCGCCGGGTGGTGGTGGCGTATACCTTTAATCCAAGCACTCGGGAGGCAGAGCCAGGCGGATCTCTGTGAGTTCGAGGCCAGCCTGGACTACATAGTTCTAGGACAGTCAGAACTACACAGATAGACCCTGTATCAAAAAACCCAAAAAGGGGGAAAAAAAGGATGGGGGAGACCAATCAAAATAAAAAAATCCAAAACAAAATGAGAAAGTAAGAAACATACAGATACACAAATGAAACCCATAAAAACACAATATCCAAAATTGTAATATACAAGCAAAAGACCAGTAAGATAAGAAATGCCAGACAAAGCAATATGAGACCAAAACAGTCCACACAGATGTCATTGGCTTTGTTTTTGTGTTGGACGTTGGGCCTCCCCTTAAGTGTAGTTTATATACCCAGTGAGACTGCATTGGAGAAAACTAATTTTTTCTTTACAAGCTGTTGTCAGTTGGATAGAGACCCACCACTGCACAATGTGTAGAGAGTGAGTTTTGGAACACTCAGTTCAAAATGGTATGTCTTCATCAAACCCCTCCCCTCAGGGATCTAGGAGCCGTGCAGAAGAGGAGGTGGGAAGATTGTAAGAGGCAGCGGGATGGGTGACGACACCATGGGTGTCTTCTGAATAGACGATGCCCACCCAACTGCACATCTGAAAGACAGGCTTTCTTACAGTATTTGTGGAAGTAGATGTGTGTTTGTGAAGAACATTGAAGGGAAACCTGAGAGACTGTGTGCACATAATCTCCCTTAGCCCCTTAGTGCGCTCCCATTTGTTTTCTTTCTTAGGACTGTGGAAGGGGAGAAGTCTTCACCTATGGGGCTTCTGGATCTTATCTTTCCATTTCTTTGCACAATGGCCTCTTCCTCAGGTTTGCTACAGGGCTTCTGAGGGCTTTTGTGTTGCTTTTCTTTCCAGTACTAATGTTTTGAATCTAGGGCCTTGAGCATTACAGGCAAGTCTTCTGTCACTGGTGTATATTCTCAGTAAGACAGGGTCTTACTAGATTGCCTAGGCTGGCCTTGAATTCACTCAGAAGCAGAGTGGCTCTGTAGTCTAGGTGCTCATACAATTACCTTTCAGGGTCCATCTTGTCACCTGATCTCACAATAGCTCAAAACATTTAGATATGTTTTACAATTTATTTATATTTAATTATACATGCTTGTGTGTGTCTTTGTGAGGTATGTACATGGGAATGCAGGTGCTTGTAGAGGCCAGAAGAGGACATTGGATTTCCTTGAACTGGAGTCCAGGAAGTGAGCCACCTGATACAGGTGCTGAGAATTGAACTCAGGTCCTCTAGAAGAGCAGTAAGCCCTCCTAACCTCTGAGCCATCTCTTCAGCCCCTCTAGATACATTTTTTTATTTTTCTGAAACAATGGTTTTTTTTAGAATCAGTGTCTTGTAGTCCATTTTATTATGTTGCCTAGTATAAATTTTTTTTTTGTATTAGCAATAAGCATAATTTGACATGCATGTCTGTTTTGTCTTTCCAGGTGCCGTTTGGATAGTACTTTAGTGGCACAATGTACTCTGAGTGGCGGTCACTGCATTTGGTGATTCAGAATGATCAAGGCCATACCAGTGTGCTACACAGCTATCCAGAGAGTGTTGGGAGAGAGGTGGCCAATGCAGTGGTCCGTCCTCTGGGGCAGGCATTAGGTACCTCTTCAGCGGCTGGTAGTGAGAGTTTGTTAAAAACTGACAAAGAAGTAAGTGTTTCTTCATTTCCTTCTGTTGTATGAAGAAAATAGGAATTGTTCACTAAAAATTGTATTTAGTGTTGACCTTTTAAAAAGTAATAGTTAAAATTGTTTTATTATTATTATTATTATTATTATTATTATTATTTAGTTTTTCGAGATAGGGTTTCTTTGTGTAGTTTTGGTGCCTGTCCTGGATCTCACTCTGTAGGCCTTGAACTCACAGAGATCCGCCTGACTCTGCCTCCCGAGTGCTGGGATTAAAGGCATGTGCCACCGCCATCTGGCACATGTTACATTTTAACAAAGGTTTATTTTTTTATTTTATTTATTATTTTTAATTTTGTATATGTACGTAAGTCTGTGTGTGAGTATGTGCACATGAATGCAGGTGCCTGTGGAAGCCAGTGCTGTTGGATCCCTCTGCACCTGGAGTTAGGGGCAGTTGTGAGCTAAATAGGACATGGTTGATGGGAATCAAACTTGGGTTCTCTGCAGGAGCAGTATGCACTATTACTATGCTGACTTTTTAATGGATTGCTGCCTGATGTAGTGAGAGTTCTAGCTTTTATCTCATTTGGGTTGTGTGTTAGGGCTTGGGGCCTATGGAAGATATAAAGAAGGGTTGTACCTTTTTGCTGCTGACACTTCTCATTTGGCTACACCTAGTTCTCCATGTGAGCTAAGTAGTCAGGACAGAGATTCATGTGTCAGACCCTTAAGCACTAGGCTCAGTCTTCAGATGTCTGTTTCTGTTTGAAATCCCTGCTGGTTAGGGATATTATTGTTGTGATGAAACACCATGACCAAAAACAGCCTGGGGAGGAAAGAGTTTGTTTTGTGTATCCAGCGCCACAGTCCACTGAGGAAAACCAAGGCAGGAACTCAAATAGTACAGGAACCTGGAGGCAGGAACTGATGCAGAGTCCATGGAAGAATGCGGCTTACTGGCTAGCTCATTGTGGCTAGCTCTGCCTGATTCCTTACAGAACCCAGAATCACCAGCCCAGATGTGGCACCACCCCAGATGCTCCACAGGCTTGCTTACACCCTCCCCCTCACCCCCATCCCCCCTTACAGTCATTCTCCAGTCTCAGCCTCTCAAGTGTTGGGATTACAGGTATGAGGCAGCATGCCTACCTAGCTCTTCTTACTTTTGATCATTCATGGAATATCAGACTTAGCTGAAACTGAAGCCTTCAGCTCCAGAGGTAGGTTGTTTATCCTCCGATGGCCAAAGATTGAAATCCTTCAGTCTTTGTAGTTTTCTCATTAGAGTACCCTAGCTTCCTCTGAGGACCCTCATAAGCCTTGACACTCTGCTCTGACTTTAGTTATGATCCCTTGCTGCCTTAGATGAAATGTCATGTAGATAGATAGAAAGTGATCTAGTGTAGCCCTCAGTTATTATCTTTACTACCTTCAGGAGATGATGAGAAGGTACTGTTTTTCAAATTTTATTTATTATTGTGAGGGTCGGCATGGGGGGCAAGGGGACATGTGTGCCTTGGTGACCATGTGGAGATTAGAGGACAGCTTTTGGAAGTCAGTTCTCCCACTTTTGGTTCTCAGAATCAAACTCAGGCTATAGATGAGCAGCAGATGGTTTTACCCACTGAGCCATCATGGGTACTTTCCCTTTAAACTACTTTGACATTATTGCCAAAGATAACTTGTCTTTTTTCTTTCATCTAATTATTAGGAACCTGTAGCTCCTTTTAAGATTCCTTTCTCAGGCTGGGGAGATGACTGTGTAGCTCAGACTGCCTTGAACTTGAGATCTTAGTTGGTAAAGTGCTTGCTATGGAGCATAGAGATCTAAGTTTAATTCTTAGAACCCATGCAAGCTGGGTATGGTGGCACACACTTTTAATTTTAATTCCAGCATGCCAGAGGCAGAGGCTTGCAGATCTTTGAGTTTGAGGCCAGTCTGGTTTACATAGAAAGTTCTAGGCCAGCCAGGGCTACATAGTGGGACCCTGCCAGGCTGGGGTTGGGGGTGGGGTAAATACAAACAACCAAAAAAACCCATCATAGTGGCATGAACTTCAATCACTTTCATTCCAGCACTGGGGATGAAGAGACAGGAGGGTTCCTGGGGCTCACTGGCCAGCCAACCTAAGCTAAAGGCAAGCCCCAGGTCAGTGACACATCTTGTCTCAACAAACAAGGTGGACAGCACCTGAGCAGTAACAGCTGATGCAGACCTCTGTATGGTGATATTGTGTTCCCCAATATATTGTGCACGCTAATAAACTTATCTGGGGTCAGAGAACAGAAAGCCATTAGATATAGAGGCCAGAAAGTGGTGGCACACACACCTTTAATCCTAGCATTTCCGAAGGCAAAGATCCATCCAGATCTCTGTGAGTTCAAAGCCACACTGGAAACAGTCAGGCATGGTGACACACGCCTTTATTCCTAGGAAGTGATGACAGGAAGCAGAAAGGTATATAAGGTGTAAGGACCAGGAACTAGAGCCTGGTTAAGCTTTTAGGTTTTGAGCAGCAGTTCAGCTGAGATTCATTCTGGAGGAGGACTCAGGCTTCCAGTCTGAGGACACAGGATCAGCTGAAGAATTGGCGAGGTGAGGTTAGCTGTGGCTTGTTCTGCTTCTATGATCTTCCAGCATTCACCCCAATAACTGGCACTGGGTTTGTTTTTATTAATAAGACCTTTTAAGATTCGTGCTACACCTTTGGCTTCTACATGCAGACATAGGCACACACGCATATGCCCATGTATATCTGAACACGTCCACACTTTGTTCTCGTATGTGGCTTATCATCCAACACTCTCTGCTCTGAATTTGTCACAGTTTCACCATGGTTACAGTTTTCTTCAGTATTTATCACTACTAACCATAAATTGCCTACCTTTAGCCTTTTGTAGTTGTTTTTGAGCCAAAGACATTTAATATAAGCTTGGTATAATGGCATGCACCTGAAGTCTCAGCCTTTGGCAGGCTTAGGCAAGAGGATCCTGAGTGTCAGATAGCCAGGGCCATCTAGCAAGATCCTTTTCCAGTTCCACCTATCCTGTACCTCCATATATCTATTTATCTCATCAGATTCAAATTTATCAAGCCTTTAAAGTATTTTTGAATCCTGAATTCTGTCTCGCAAGCTGACTTTCCTTTTTGTCTTCATGATGTTTACATATGATTGCCCATTATTATTTATTATTATTATTTTTTTTAGATAGGATCTTTCTGTTTAGTTCAGGCTATCTTGGACTCAGTGTGTAGCTCAGGCTGCCTTGAGCTTGAGATCTCCCTGCTTTAGCATCATGAGTGCTGGGGTTACAGGCATGCAGCACCAGTCACCTAAATAAAAATTTTGGCAAGGTAGGCTGGTGGTATAGCTCGGGAGTAGAGTCCTTCCCTGCTGTGCTTAGGGCCCTGGCTTTAATCCCTACACCACAAAACAGCAGACAACTAGAATTTGGTATGGCCTTTGGTAAGCCAGGGGCATCATTTCCCTAAATAATTTCAGAACCTTCATCCTGTTACTGTCTTGAGTGGTATTTTGGCCACTTATAAATCTGGCCATCCTGCAGCCCATTGTATACCCCTATGCCAGAAACACCTGTTAATGGATTGATGAGATACTTCAAAACTGTGGTTGGAAAACTGGGTTCGTGTTTATCATTGGGAGACGAGGTTCGTCTTCAGCTTCACTATTTATAAACCAGTGGTGGGCTGAATTACTTAAACATGCTAAATTTATTTTTCTGATGTATAAAATCAGGCCAGTTTACCCTGTTATGCCAGGGTTATTGTGGTGACATTTATGAAGGTACTGTTTTAACTGCAATGATTATACAGTTGTTGCTCTCTTCAAAATAAGACTGTTAGTAAAGGAATGAAGTTTATCTGGCTTGATGTGGTCTTTTTGAGCAGCCTTGTTTTCAGTGATCATACATCCCTTTTGCTAAGTGTTTACTGATCGTCTGCTTAGAATTTGTCCCATATTTTTGTCTAGAATTCACTTCAACTTTCTAGGCTTAAAATATATAGCTTTATATATTTTAATATATAAAAATATAGTTTCATTTTCTTTTCCAAATTGGGAGATTTTTCCTTTCTCTTAGCATCTAATTTCTCGAAGCACAGATAAGTATTTCAGGTGGTCAGGTTAAGTGCGGCTGGATGCCTAGTTAAGACCTTACCCATTCAGTCCCTCTTCACCTGTATGTGCTCTCGTCTGTCCATTTTAGTGTTAGATTTTTTGACAGAGAAAACAAGTTGTATAAGTTGAACGATTCATCTTCCTTCCTGTCATTTGTTCCTATTGCATAATCTGAAGATGGAATGTAATTGAATTTATATATTTGATTTCTTAAATGATACATATTTACATATGCAAGTTAAGCAGATTAAAAATCCTACATTTTCTATTTTTATATTTCTGGTATCTGTAGAAAATTGAAAGACTCATTTCACAGAGTGAATGGTAATAATATTGAAAGGATAAAAGCATGCATAGGCTTAATTGAAAGGATAAAAGCATGCATAGGCTTAATATTTAAAAATAATGAATTTAATTTCTCCTGAAATTTGTGTGGCAAATAGGACATGAATCTGTCTAATACATAGAAAGTATGTGTCTAGAGTAAATTTGATATGTATGTTGAGATGACTGTATCTTCAACTTAAAGCATCTGGGTATTAGGAGATGTTATATTTTAAATTAGTCTAGTGAAATACAGATAAAGATCTATAATTTTTGTGAATATTTTCTTTTCCTTAGGTAAAATGGACCATGGAAGTAATTTGCTATGGATTGACCCTTCCATTGGATGGAGAGACTGTAAAATATTGTGTTGATGTATATACAGATTGGATTATGGCTTTGGTGTTGCCGAAAGATTCTATTCCATTACCAGTTACTAAAGAGCCTAATCTATATGTTCAAAGTATATTAAAACACCTACAAAATCTTTTTGTACCAAGGTAAGTTATACCTATCTGGTCATTATCAATATCATAATAAAGTATTTATAAATGTTACTTTATTAAATATAGACGCTGATTTTATTGTTAGTTCTTTGAACACTAGTCATTTACTTATAGATTCTATTAATATGACTAAAAGAGATAGGCTTATAGGGTTATGTAATATTTGCCAGTTGGTTTTTGTTTGTCTTTCGAGATAGCATCTCATTGTGTAGCCCAGACTGGTCTTGAACTTTCTATATAGCCTATGTTGACCCAAATTTATAATCCTCCTGTCTTAGCTTTTTGAGTTCTGAGATTGCAGGTGTGTTCTACCACTCTTGGATTTGCCACAATTTTTTAATAGATGTATCTTTATTTTGAATACTTTTTGGCCTTGTTTCTGAACTCTGTAGATGTTGGATATTAAAATATGGTGATGGTGACATATTTCCTTCCCTTGTTAAACTTTTTTTTTTGGGGGGGAAGGGGGCTCTTGCATGATGGCTCAGTGGTTAAAGGTGCTGGCCACTAAACCATTCATTGATCAGAGTTTGATCTATGGGACTTATATAGTGGAAGGAGAGGTGTACACTTGTAGATGTCTTCTGACCTCCACGTGTGCCCCATGATACATGTGCATACACATGCACACCAATTAAATATTAGAAAAAAACCACTCAACTTGTATATATTTTTGTATATCATAATTCTTGTCTCCATGTACACCCAAAGGAACTGTTCTTACCTTAAAATAATCCTGTAGAGTATAAAGGCATAGAATTAAGCAAACAGGTCAGGCATGGTGACTCATGCCTATAATCCCATCACTTTAGAGGTGGAGTCAAGATCAGGAGTTGAAGACAGCCTTCTCTATAGAAGGAGTTGAAGGCAAACCTGAATATATCATGTGACCCTGTCTCAAAGAAACCAAAAAAGACCGGTGAGATAGATCAGGGGGTAAAGATACTTGTCACCAAGCCTGATGACCTGAGTTCAGTTCTTGGAGTCTACATGGAAGAAGGAGAGAACTGACTGCCACCAGTTGCCCCTGACTTTCACATGAGTGACATGGCATGAATATGTTCACACCTCCCCCACACACATATACAAGTGTAAAAATTAAAAGTTTGAAATAAAATTTAAAATCTCCTTTAAAAAAGCAACCTAACTAAAAAGAAGAAGAAATAAAGAAATTGGATATTTTTTTTTAAAGATAAAGTCTCACTGTATATCACTGGCCTGAAATTTAGTGTGTAGGCCAGGCTGGCCTTGAACTCAGAGATTTACATGCTTATGCCTCCCAAATGCTGGGATTAAATCCGTGTGCCCCAACACCTGGTGAGCAAATTAGAAGTTACAGATGTTTATGGTAAACCAAAAGATTACCCTTGAAAGTTTGTTATTAATTTCTTCTCCATCTTCTGAGGCAAAGGTGTTAAATGCCAAAATGCAAGTTATTTATCTTACTTAATATTTTTTTCCTAATTTTTAAGAATTTTACATTCCAGCCCTATGTGGTGGCTCATGCATTTAATCCTAAGACTCATGAGGCTAGCCTGGTCTATATAGTGAGTTCCAGGATTGCCTGGGCTACATAGAGAGAGCCTGTCTCAAAAAACAAACAAACAAACAACAACAACAACAAAAGAGTGTTACACTCAGAGTCTAACGCTATAGCTTAGCCAGACTATTTACCTGTATACCCAAGAGCTATGGCTTCCATCCTGAGCGTCACCGAGAAATGTATGTATCCTTATGGCAGATCTTTGAGAAACAGAGAAACGCATGTGTAGAAGAAAAAAGCAGTCGTTCCCCACCAGTTCACAAGAGTGTTTTGTATTTGTGAAAGAGGCCGTGGGGCTCGTCTCCTCATGGAAAGTTTTTGTTAGAGCTTTTAGTCTGTCTGATGGTGAAGGACTTTGAATTACTCAAAAACCAGCTCTAAATTTTTAACTTTGTAAATTTAGAAGGAAATTTTTTTAGAAAATCCAAATTGAAAAAGAGAGGTCTGTAGAACTGTTTTATGGGTCAGATGTGCCCATACAAAGTTCCACCTAGGGCCTTCTGGCCTAACTTCACTAGCCACTGCTAAGTTTGTATGAGTCCCCTGAGTCTGAGTCCCCTCAAGGCTCTTTCCTGTCTTCACCTGTCCTTATGTCATTTTTTTCTCCCCTGTCTATTGCTTGGCTGTCTAACTCACTCTTCCTGGTTTCCAGTAAAGTCTGTCTTCGAAGTCTTATATGACCACACAGACCCTCTGTGATCACACCTCCTTGGAATTTGCTTGGTACTTCCCATTTTACTCTCTTGTCTCTCATTGTTTTGTTCCATGTCCTTTAACTTGTTCTGTTTCATTTTCCATCTAACCAACTTGAAGACAGGAACTCAGCTAGCTTTCTGTATTTGGGGGCATCTACACTAAGTATAATGCAGTACTGGCCTTAGGTACAGATTAAATGTTTGTTGATCTTAAATGGAAACCACGTCTCTGAAATGGTATAGTTTTAATTTTTCTTGTCATGTCGTCAGAAGATTGATTTATATTATTTTTTCCCTTGTGTGTGTGAAATGATCTTGTTTGAAAGGTCACTATATCTCTTTCATCTCTTTCCCTTTACCATCTTTTAATGCTCAGTTTGTATCACTGAAAAAACAGTAATGGCATTTGAACAAAATGTCCTTTTGTTTTTACTTTTCTCTCTTGAAAAGTATGACTGTGATTTTTTTTTTTTTACTATTTGATAATTAGCTTGTTCCTCAGAAGTGTGTGTGTGTGTGTGTGTGTGTGTGTGTGTGTGTGTACAGGTCAGTGAATTTAATTGTTAGAGTTCTCTTGGCCAGTGATAGTATATGAAGATTAGGTGAATAATTTCAATGCTGTATATTGGGACTTCTGTTCTAGTCTTCAGTTACTAGAAGTTTCAGTTTAAATTTAAATAGTTCATCAAATTGTCATCAGAGCTTACTTAATTAGTTGTTTTTATATCAAACTGACTCTGAAAATAGAGGAAACTGCCTTTACCTTTTGCTAGAGATTAAGTAAATATGGCTTTTTCTTGCCCATTAACCTGATATTTTTTCATAATTGAATGAAGAATGTACTATCTGTTGAAGTTGACTGGACTTTTAATTGCTTAGATACACTGCACTATAAGAAATGGAGTATCAGCTGGGCGTGATAGCATGCACCATTAATCCCAGCATTCAGGAGGCAGAGGCAGGCAGATCTCAGTGAGTTTGCCTGGTCTACACTGGTGTACAGAGCAAGTTCCAGGGGACAGCCAGGGTTACACAGAGCAGCCCTGTGTCGAAAAACCAAAAAGAAAAAGAAAAAAAGAAGAAGAAAAGAAATGGAGTATCTTTAAGAAATGCAATATCTTCCTGTCCCCCCCCCCATCCATGTGTACATGTCTTCTAAAGCAGTGGTCACAATATTTTTTTTTAAACAAGCTAGTAAATGTTTCCTATATTACAGGCCATATGGTGTGGCAACTCCTCAGCCCTGTGGTAGAGCAGAGAGTGGCCATAGACTCCTAAATTTAAAGAAACAAGAACTTTACTTACAGAGGCAACAGTGTACTTAAGTTCTAGAGGACCTGGGTTTGATTCTTAGCACTCCACATGGTGGCTCACAACCATCTGGAACTCCAGTCCAGGGGATCTAATGTGTTTTTCTGGCCTCTGGGCAATGTACATATCTGGTACACAGACGTACCTGCAGGCAGAATGCCTATATAACAATAAATACATAAAAAATAGAGTACTACAAAGGCAAGTGTTAGTCAAGTTGTCTATGGCAGATTGTAACTAGCTTCACCTCTAGATGAATGTGGGATGGGCAGCTCTCTCTCCATGTGATGCATGCATGAGTGTGGGTGCACCCCCTTCCAGAGGTCAGAAGAGGAAATTGATGTCTTTTCCTATTGCTCTGTGCCTTATTCCGTTGAGGCAGGGCCTTTTAAGAATCAGAAGCTTGCCATTTCAGCTAATTTGCCTGGCTAGTGAGCTTCCAGAATCCACTGTCTCCACCCTACAATATTGGTGTTTCAGGTAGGCGCAGCCATGCCCAGCTTTTTATGTGTGTGCTAGGGAGTCAAACTTAGGTCCTGGGGTTTGAGCTTAGGTCCTTCTGTGATTCTACTGTGAATGATCTTTCCTATTGAGCCATCTCTCTGGCCCAGCTTTGACTTCTCTAGGGAAGATTTAGTTATTTAGTTGTGTCATTTGTCTGCAACTTTAAGTTGTCAGGAGTTTGGGGAGTAGATGACTTGCTGACATTTTTTTTCAGGACACTCCAGCTCTTTGTGTCAAGCCACAATTTATAGAAACTTGACTTTAGTGTTTACATCATTATTGTGTTAGGTTTATCATGAGAAAACTGGAGGCCAGCTCACCAGTCATTAAAGCCATTTTTGAAATTCTCAGGTGGGGCATCTTGGAAAGTGAGGCAAGAGCTAGGCCCTGGATTTCTTGTTTTCTCTTCTGCCCCATTTTGTGGAATAGTTGCCGTTTTCTTCCTCCTCCTCTTCCCCCCTTTCAAGACAGAGTCTTACTATATGTAGCTCTGCCTGTCCTGGAACTCGCTCTGTAGACCAGGCTGGCCTTGAACTCATCGAGATCCACTTGCCTCTGCCTCCCAAGTGTTGATATTGAAGGCGTGCACCACTCCACTTAGCAAGTCTTCTCTTAAGGAGCAAAAATGTTCTAACTAAAGAGAATTTTGCAGCTGTTGTTTGAGGAACCCTTGGATCCCTTTGGAATGCCTGTGTTTTTAGTAGAGCAATAGTAGCAGGTCTTCTTCTCTGAGGAAATGCTGGCATGGCTTATCAATTTTAGACACTCCATTGGGCCTTGTAACAGATGTCAGCTTTTAAGGTGACTGTGAAAACTGTAAAAACTTGAAGAATTCTTGTAAATGTGTGTTTCAGAAAATTGAAAAAGAATATAAGGGCTTTTCTGCTCCAGTGTGAAGAGCAAAGGTACAAACTAGGTATGTACTCATCTAGCAGAAACTAGTTGAATATCTGCTGTTATGTGCCAGACACATTTCAAAAAGAAAATCCAGAGGTGCAGTCTACATTCTAGTTTTCTCTTTCTCACAGAAGCTAGTTTCTCACAGGAGAGGCAGGTAGAGATCTCAGGGTGCTGAACTGAATAGTGGGGGGAACTAGCTGTCCACTGAGGAGAGTTGTGCTTAGCCCTGCCCACTGATGCTTAGGTAATGTCATTGGACCACTGTTCTGCGTCAGTAAGTTTCCTGTTCTTTGGCTGTTGCTGTCTCTCTTCCAGGCCTGTCAGTGATATCTGTCTGTCTTCTTCAGACAGGAACAGGGCTCCAGTCAGATCCGACTATGCTTACAGGTTCTGAGAGCCATTCAGAAACTGGCCCGTGAGTCATCCATCATGGCTCGAGAAACCTGGGAAGTCTTGCTGTTGTTTCTTCTGCAAATTAATGACATACTTCTGGCCCCACCAACTGTTCAAGGTTTGTTAATGACGTTTTCCCCCTTATGTTTCTGTACTCAAAATATAGTTCACATTTAAACTCAGTGAGTGATAGAATCAGTGCAATTTTAAATTTTGGTAAGACTGTTGACAAACCAAAGTACCAGTTTGTACTGGAAAGAAACAATATGGGCTGGGTGTGGTAGCACACACTTTTAATACCAGCACTTGGGAGGCAGAGACAGGTAGATCTCTTGAGTTTCAGGCCAGCCTGATCTACAAATTGAGTTCTAGGACAGCCACAGCTACACAGAGGAACCCTGTCTTGAAAAAAAAAAAAAAGAGTTTCTATGTATGTGTCTAGGTTATTTTACCTTTAGTGATTATTTTGCTAATGTAAAGAAAGATTTGTAATCAAGCATATTGGAGAAGGATAGGAACAACAGCTTGTTTTGTGCAGTGGTATGGAGCCTCTATAGGAACAGAAAATGCTAAATTAGGTTCTACAGATAATGTATTGGATGAAAAAGTTCTTATCAAAGTAGAGTCTAAATGCTTGATAGTGATGATAGTGAGATGCCTTTTGTTTTTGTTTTTGTCCCCTGAGGTACTTAAAGAAATGGCCTGGGGCCTTGTCCATGCTGAACAAGTACTTAACCACTGAGACTGAGCTTTACCCCCAGCCCAGAAAACATCTTATTTGGCAAATAAAACCTCCAAAGTCTTAAGGTGTTTGGTTTGAAAGTATGACATTTATTGGCTAGCCATTAAAAGCCTCTAGTTTCATGTAGTTTTGCAGTATTTCAGAAGCCCTGCTTTGTACATTAAAGCAGAGTATACATAAACTATAAATTGATATTCGATTTCCAGGTTCTGTTGTTCTTATTCTCTTTATATTCTCTCTACTAATGTAAGTTAGCATGCTTGTGTTGTCAGATAGATGCAGTGACCAAGGAAATGTTTAGAAGGAATCAAGGAATTGTAATGTGGGAAAGGACCCTGTAGGAATACGATCTGGTGTTGACAGTAGCTTGCCAGTCACAGCACTGATTCATTGGCCCTCTGCTATTGGTCCCCCATGCCAGTGACTGATCTCAGAAGTGTGAGTCAGGCAACTTTGCCCCTCTTTGGACTCTTTATTATTGGAACTTTGATTTTGCTTGCTTGTTATGTGCATTCTAATTACTTTTCCTTCTAGTCCTAACTTTACTTTTTTGAGCTGTGCAGAGTAAAGTCCACTGCCCCTTCTGGTTTCAGGACTTTGACTGGAAGGACAGCTCTGCATTCTGTTTAAAGTTTGCCCTTGTCTGGTGCCATAGCTTAGCTTTCCTTTTGTCTTTCTCCACTCAGGGGCAGCTTTAAGCACCTGGAGCATTTTGTTGCAAACTTTGGAGTCAGAAGACCTTGGTATTTGTTCTGATTCCTTTTTCATTAGCTGTATGGAATGGGGACATACTGGCAAGGTGGCTCACACCTATAACCCCAGCACTGGAGAGGTAGAAACAGAAAGATTGGAAGTTCGGGGTTACCCTTTGCCACATAGTTAAGTTTCAGGTTAACTTGAGTTATATTACAGGACCGTGTCTTTAAACAAAAAGCTAATAGGTATTTACAAATACCTGTCCTGCAGAAATAAATGAGATTATGTGAGGTCATGTGTGAACTACTTGGCATGGAAGGTGACTTCTAGTGGTCACTTATTGTTGGCATTCATCTTTTCCTTTCTCCTTTTTCTGTTCTTTTCTCCTTTTCCTTTTCCCTTAGCTGGAACCTTAAGATCTGCACTAAAAATTAGCAGGGCAGTTTGAAAATTCTCAACAAGTAATCATTGATGTTCTCTGTGATTCCTTCATAGGAGCTTGCTCCTAAGCATCTCAATTTAGTTATTAAAAAAATTGATATTAACATTACAACTATTTAATTTTTGATCAGTTTCCTATACAATGAATGAAAGAGTCTGTTTTAAAAATGAGTATGCCAAAGATATGTTTCTTTTCATTGGCTAGGTGGCATTGCTGAGAATCTAGCAGAGAAGCTGATTGGTGTTCTCTTTGAAGTTTGGTTACTAGCTTGCACCCGGTGCTTCCCAACACCTCCTTATTGGAAGACAGCCAAGGAGATGGTGGCTAACTGGAGGCACCACCCTGCAGTGGTGGAGCAGTGGAGCAAGGTCATCTGTGCACTTACTTCCAGGTAGGTCATTGTCTTCCTCATCCTTCTGACCTTGGGGCAACTCTTCTCTGGTTCTGTGTCTTTATGGGGTTCATGGAATGTATTTTGAAAAGCCTGGACCTATCATTATTGTACTTTATAGACTACACCAATTTAAAAGAAATAAAGGGGCTGGAGAGATGGCTCAGCCATTAAAGGCTAGGCTCACAACCAAAAATAAAAGAAATAAAGAACTCAGGGAGATGGCTCATGGTTTAGGCACTTGCCATGCCTCACAACCTGAGTTTAATCCCCAAAACCCATGTAAAAGGTGAAAGGAGAGAACAGATTCCAGAGTTGTTCTCTGACCCCCACATTGTGGTATGTCATGGTGATGGCTAATACTGTGTCTTCTTTTAATTAGTTTTGATGCAAAAGCAATATGTACTGATAATCAAAAAATTGGAAAATGTAGAATGAAAGAAACATTCCATCACTTAAAAATGTTTTTAAGCCAGGCGATGGTGGCACATGCCTTTAATTCCATCACTCGGGAGGCAGAGGCAGGCGGATCTCTTTGAGTTCGAGGCCAGCCTGGTCTACAGAGTTAAGTTCCAGGACAGGCTCCAAAGCTACACAGAGAAATCCTGTCTTGAAACAAACAAACAAACAAACAAACAAACAAAAAACCCCAAAATAAAAGTTTTTAAATGTATGGAAATGTTTTTTAATGTATTCCCCTATCTAGTTCCCTTTTATTAAAAACAAAACGGTGCTGGAGAGATGGCTCAGCAGTTAAGAGCACTGGCTGCTCTTCCAGAGGACTGTGTTCAATTCCCAGCACCCACATGGCAGCCTACAACTGTCTAACTCCAGTTCCAAGGGATCCAACATTCTCAAATAGACATATATGTAGATAAAACACCAATGCATATAAATAAAAACAAATAAATTATTAAAAACAAAACAAAACAAAAAACCAGTTTGAGATAGTATTGTAACCTATTTTTTATTTGATGCCCGATTCAAGTCATTTTAATTCCCTGTATTTATTTGTAAATAATTTTTGAGGTTGCATTTTTAGTTAGCTTTATATTCTTAGATAATTTAATAATTTCTATTAAATATTTTGATAAATATGCTGTTCTGAGTTTTTTTTAACTTTAGAAATTTTGTTGAAGGAATACTTTATACAGTTTTATATATATTTTGGTGTTTTATTAAGATAAAAACCTTAGATACAGAGTAATTGAGTCAAATGGCTTTGAAAAGTCCTAGTACATGTAGAATATTACTATTAAGTAAATAACTAAGTTGTTGAATTCAGTTAGTTTTTATGGTACATCATAAAAATGTACTATATTCTAAGCATATAAATACTAAATTCTGAACTTCATGTGAAATTGTTGTGAATAAATTATACCTTAGTTTATTGAAGGATTTACAGTGATATCAATTTTTTAAAAATAATAGAAAGCTGAGTGTGATAGCACATACCTTTAATCTCAGCATTCAGGAGAAAGGAGCAGGCAGATCTCTTGAGTTTGAGTCCAGCCTGGCTCTACATAGTGAGTTCCATGCTAACCAGAGCTACATAGTAAGACCCTGTCTCAAAAAGACAAACACAAAAGCCACTACCATCCAAACAAAACAACAAGAAAGAAATAATTTATATACTACTTCCATGTTTAATGATGTAATTCTATAGGTACAATAACAAACATACATAATTTATTACTTGCAAGTAATATAAATAGTAAGTTAAATAGTGTGAATATTTCAGATAAAAGTTTAAATCATCTTTTAAAAGCTGGAAATCCCTTGCAGTTTATCATTTTTACAAATCAGGGTTTTCATTACAGCTTTTTCACTTTGCTAAGGTATGTTTAGTCCGTTTTCTCATATAATGGTTGAATATATGTTTAATTTTGTTAATAATGGACATGGTAGCTGGATCTGATGGTATAGGACTATCTCTTTGTTAATTAGGAAGAGCCAGTAGGATCAGAAGTTCATGGCTAGCTTCTGCAATTGAGTGAGATCTTATCTGTCTTGAAGTAAGAAATTAAAATGAACTGGGATTGAATTAAATTAAAATAGCTCAGTGGAAGAGTGCTTGCCTAGAATGTTGGAGCTAGGTTCAGTTCTCCATACCATCAAAAGAAAAACGAAACAAGAACCTAAAAGAGAGAAATGGACTTAGTGGTGTGTGGCTCTGTTTTCCAGATTGCTCCGCTTTACATACGGCCCTTCATTTCCTCCGTTTAAAGTTCCTGATGAAGATGCCAATCTGATCCCTCCAGAAATGGACAATGAGTGTGTTGCACAAACATGGTTTCGATTTTTGCACATGTTAAGGTATTGTCATGTTATTTCATGTGTTCTTTACCTAGTAAGTATCTTAGGGCAAGAGTCACACTGCTTCTGTTGGAATGTGGCATGTGAGTGCTAAGTACAGTCCATTGGAGGGAGCTGAATGGACACATACATGTCTCCATTACGATGCATATCTGCAGTGTACGTCTCCTGCTCTCTCCGTTCCCTCAGCTGTTCTTGGAACCCTCTCTAGAAATTTGTTTTCTTGCTTGTTACTGCATCTTAGATGATGCTGTCTCTCCCAGGACTTTTGTCACATTCTTTAGAGACCATGTCACCATGCCATGCTCCTCTCTGTCAGTACTGGTTCATCAGTCTTGATCTCAGTGCTCTCTAGCAGCTTTGTTTAAAATTTCACTGAAAAATAAACCTTAAATTTCACTGAAGAGTAAATCTCCCTCCCCTCCTGCTATTTCTTTTCTTTAAAAATGACATTTATTTATTGTGTATATATTAAGGTGTGTGTGTGTGTGTGTGTGTGTAGATACCTGTGCCATGGCACATGTGTGAAGCCCCAAAGCTGACCTTGTAAAGTTGCTTCTTTCCTCCTTTACATGGGTTCTGTAGATTGAACTTAAGCCATCATGTTTGTGTCATCCAGTGGGTGGCAAGTGCTTTATCCCACAGCCATCTCACTGGCTCAATGAAATAAAAATTTTAGAAAGAGAACAGAGGAGGAAGAGGAAAGTAGAAGATACCTAGCCTCTACCAAATATAAGAACTGTGGTATATCTAGGATCCACTTTTGAATAAAATTTTTTTTTTTACTTATGTGTATGTGTGTGTATTTCTGTGTGTGAGTGTATGCTGTGTATTTGGGTATCCTTAAATGGCAAAAGAAAGCATCACATCTACGGAACTGAAGTATAGGAGGTTGTGAGTCACAGTGTGGATGCTGGGGACCCAACTCAGGTCCTCTGAAAGAGCATTATGCACTTTGGACCATTGAGCCATCTTTCTAGCCTCTTTTCAAACATCTTGTTGATTTGGTGCTAGGAATTGAACTTGGGTTTGACATGCTAAGCATGTAGTCTACTACTGAGACATACTTCCTTCCTTTATTATTTATCTTTTTGAGACTGGGCCTTGCTGTGTAGCTCAGGCTGGCCTTGAACTTACCATCCTTACCTTAGCTTTCTGAGTACTGGGTATTGAGCCGCTGTGCTCAGTCACCCTGCAGTCCTCTTTTTAAGACTCTTACATAGCTAACAGGAGTACTTTATTCACAAAGTTGGCCTATTTCTTACGTCATTGTTTTTAAGCATTGCTAAGATAGTGGGAAGCTAGCCTTTTTTTATGTTGCTATATCCTTATATGAGGCAGGAGCATCACAAGTTTGAAACCTGTTTGGGCTATGTAGTGAGTTTCACACTATTCTTTAACTTCATTGTTAAGACCCTGTTTCCAAAAAATAATTTCTTTTAATTAAAAATTTGTTGCATAATATTTTCTAATTTCTCCATTCCTAATTGATCTGTTAGGCTTTAGTTTTGTTTTTGGGATGACATTGATATTTTAGTCAGGGGTTGTTTCCTTATAAATAATAGAAACCTAGGTCTATCTGTCTGTCTGTCTGTCTGTCTGTCTGTCTGTCTCTCTCTCTCTCTCTCTCTCTCTGTCACACACACACATACATACACACACACACACACACACACACACACACAGTCAAGCCTTTAATCTTATTCTTGAATCAAGAAGACTTAGACTTCTCTTTCTCAGCTTTCTTACTTTTCTTGTACATGTATACTATCTCTGGCTGACTGTTTCCCCGTGTCTGGATCCCCGTGCCTTTCAGGAGTATGTGATTCAGTGTGAACAGCTGTGAACACTGTGCAGCTCCACTTCTAGCTCTTTTAGGTTACTGGAGCATTCCCTTTGCTCAGACTCCCCAAAAGAGATACATTAGACCAAATTACTTTTGTTATTTAGGCTAAAGTGGTCGTGATTTTCTCACAGACCTTTGGATGGACTCCCTTTGGATAAGTTTTATGTCTTTGTTTAAGTGAGGATTACTCAGGAGGGGCCACTGTCCATTGGCAGATTTCCTGGGAAGAGGGCTGAAAGCGATGTGGACTATAAACAGAATCTTGTTTAGTATGGTAGCGTCATCTTTTTCCTGGAAAACACCACAGTTCCCGTTGATTTTACCAATGTTATTCTTACTTGCACTTGTTGGTATGTCCAAACACACAGACAGGTTTGTTTGGTATTTTTTGTTGGTGTTTGGTTTTTGGTTTTTGGTTTTTTGACACAGGGTTTCACTGTGTAGCTCTGGCTGTCCTGGAACTCACTCTGTAGACCAGGCTGGCCTCGAACTCACAGAAATCTGCCTGTCTCTGCCTTTCAAGTAAGTGCTGGGATTAAAGGCAAGTGCCACCACAGCTCAGCTAAGATAGATGTTTATATTAAAATTTTCTCTGTGAACTTCTTGTTGACTTTAGTTTTCTATTACTTAGTTCCAAACATAAGAAAAAAAAATATTCCTCTCTCTCTTTTCTTTTTTTTTCTCCTGAGAGGGTTTATCTGTATAATGCTCGTGCTGTCCTGAATTCGCTCTATAGACCAGGCTGGCCTGTAGAGAAGCATTCATGTCCCTAACTCATCAAATAAATTCAGTTTCCTCTTCACGTCAAAGAAACAGGCACAAATAGTCCTGTTCTTTTTTTCTTGTTTTGTTTGTTTCTTGTTTTTTTGAGACAGTTGCCCTCTGGAGTCCTGGCTGTCCTGGAATTAACTCACTGTATAGCTTAGACTGGCCTCAAACTCACAGATCTGCCTGCCTCTGCCTCCAAAGTGATGAGGTTAGAGGTGTGCGTCACCATGTGTGGGTGATAGTCCTAATTTTTAAATTGGATTGCATGCATTTTTATTGCTATAGACATTTCTAAGTGTGTAATTAATTCTTTCTCCTTTTCACTAGTAATCCTGTGGATCTGAGTAACCCAGCCATTATAAGCTCAACCCCCAAGTTTCAGGAACAGTTCCTGAGTGTGAGTGGGATGCCGCAGGAGCTGAGCCAGTACCCATGCCTTAAACATCTGCCTCAGATATTCTTTCGTGCCATGCGCGGAATCAGCTGTCTGGTGGATGCATTCTTAGGTGAATTTTGTGTATGTTTCTTAGATGTTTGAAGAACTGTGTTTAGATATTTTATTCTACAGTTTAATGCTGGAAGCTCTTAGGAAAGTCTAGAGAAAGAGGAACAAACTTCGTGGCAAATAACAATTTAGGAAAAATGATTTTCAGCAAATAGTGATAGCTAGAATGCTACTGTCTTTTTATAAATCTAACAAAACACCATGAAAAGGACAGTAAGCTAAGATAGATGGAGAAAAGACACAAATAATTTACAGAACAGATTGTAAATTGCTTAACTCATTCCACGAGTTACCCACAAAAATAGTTTAAAATGCTCAAGTGACTTTTTTCATGGATATCATTGGTAAGCTACCTTTTGTGAACCAGTTTTTAGTTTTTCATAGGAAAGACACACAAAAACGGTATCTTTTTGTGTATTTTTAATCGGTTGAAAAGGAGTGATATTTAATCGCTGTCATTTTCTAAAACAATTGATATGTATATGTGTTAAATGTATCATATAGTTGAGGGTTTTTCCTCTGTCATGGAATTTTTTGTTTTTGGTGGTGAATAAGTGCACAAAAATGTTTGATAGTGAAAATGTAAAATACAGTGAGAAGCTCTAGACTGGATTGTACAGAATGGCTAAATGGTCATTGAGATGTGTAGACTTCGGTTTCAGGTTAATTTTGGTTTTTTGTTTGGTAGATTTTTTTGAGACAGGGTGTCTCTGTGTAGCCCTGGCTGTCCTGGAACTTCCTTTGTAGACCAGGCTGGCCTTGAACTCACAGAGATCTGCCTGCCTCTGCCTCTGCTTTGAATAATAAAGTTTATTAAAATTTTTAAAAATAGAAAAAACATACTTGTTCTGATTAGATTGCTGCCACGTAACAGCCTAAGCTCTCCATGGTTGACACGTAAGTTTGTTTCCACATGTGTGAGGCAGGCCAGGCAGTGTGGTTGCTGTAGTAGTTTCTTCACTGTCATGGATCAAGGCCCTTCTGTCTGGTGGCTGTCCATTTTGTTGTGGCCTTCATTCATGAGGAGCCCAGGAGCTTACTCCAGGAGTCAGGAAGGACAGGGAAACCTGCTTGTCTTTTGTAAGATTTTCTGGGAGACTATCCAATAGTCACCTACTTCTCTAAACTTAAACATGGCCACCCCCTGTTGTAAGGGAAGCTTGAAAGTGTGGTCATTTGTTCTGGCTTCCCTGTCCAACTGAAATAGGGCTCTATTACTCAGAAGAAAAGATATGTGAATCTTAGGGGGCAGCTCCATCTTTCTTAAAAACAAAACCCTTTTTTTTTTTCCAAAAGGCATTTCTCGACCGAGATCAGACAGCGCTCCCCCAACACCCGTGAATAGATTAAGTATGCCTCAGAGCACTGCTGTGAATACCACACCACCACATAACCGCAGGCACCGGGCTGTTACTGTGAATAAGGCCACCATGAAGACGACTGCAGTAAGAACCTTCATCATTGTTTTGATGTGAAGCATAACTTTTACAAGTCCTCAACTTGCTCCAACTTTTCATGACTGCGGACACTTACTTGTGTTCTTCTGGTAGGTTACTACTGTTCACAGTTCGAAAGTCCAGCACCAGGCATCCTCCACTTCTCCTCTGTCAAGTCCAAATCAGACTAGTTCAGAACCCAGGCCGCTGCCTGCCCCTCGGAGACCAAAAGTTAACAGCATCTTGAATCTCTTTGGATCGTGGTTATTCGATGCAGCATTTGTTCACTGCAAACTCCAAAATGGAATAAACAGAGACAGCAGCATGACTGGTAAATATGCCCAGAAACATGTAGTCATTATTCCCTTTCTGTTTCTTTCTCTTTAGTCTTTCCTACCTGCAAGATTAATATGGTTCTTGAAAAGCACTCTGTTTCTCACCAAGCAATATATTGTGCTTAACCCCTTCCAGCTGAACCAATAGAAACTTGTGAAGCATTCCTATCTGTCCTTTTTATGTACACTTTAGAAGTTTGACCCTTTGTCTGGTTTTATTAGGGACACTTCAGGTTAGCCACTTTTTGTTGAATCAAATTCCTTTTTGTAGGTGATCTGGAAATTCCCTTCATGTCAGCCAGGATAATAATAGATATATGGACAATTAAAGATTTTGAGTGAAAATTTACTCATTGAAATGTTATCTTAGGTTTTTCACAGCCATTTAATCATCATTACATGTAAATATCAGGAATTTTCTGTTTTCTTTGTGGTAGACTCTAACCTCTTAGGTTTTAGTATAGAGAAAATACGATCTGCTCTATAACTTTGTAAGATTTGTAGAGAATCAATAAATCAACCCCAGTATCTTCATTAGATTTTACTGTAGAATGAAATTGTCTAAATGAAATTGGATTTATTTTGTCATCTTACTATTATGCTTGGAACAAGTGCCAGATGGATGGATGAAGCAGGGCAGAATGTTTTGAATGTTTATCATCTGTCTTACACAGTTGAATAATAATAGTGGCTGGCATTTATTGAGCTGCTGTTAGTATGTGCCAGGTCTCATGTTTATGCATTAATGAGTGCATTAGTTGTTTTCTAAAAAATACTTTTCTACAAGGGTTGGAGACAGATGAGGTAAAAAGATTTCTGATAGTATTACTTTCTGATAGTATTAGTCTCCAAGGAGACTGTTGAATTCATTGATAAAATTAACAGTGTTCATAGGGTCTCTGCTTTTTCTCAGAAACTCATTCACAGCTAGGTTTATGCCTGTGAATATTTTATAAGTGTAATTATTTTGGATGTTTTTACAAATCTTTTAAATAATTTAGAAAAATTTTAAGTATGAAGATGTTATGGGATGTGAGGCTGCATGAATGAGTTAGAGATTCTTTTGCTTGCTTTATTTTGTTCAAATGTAGGTACTTTATATTTTCCACATTATGGTTTTATTCATGAACTTGATTAAATGAAAAGTCTAAAAAACCATTCACAGTATATTTTCATTATGTTTTATGTGCTATATATTTTGAATTTTCTGAACCATGTTTACTAATTTAGATGGTATTGTCCAGCGTGAGTCAGCCTTTTATTTATTTATTTATTTATTTATTTATTTTTGGTAAGGTATAATTCTTACAACACAACCTGTTGAGTGTGGAGCTGTTGGCTTTGCAATCTCTTGAGTCTAGCATGCCTCAGTCTGCTGCTTTCTGCTGGGCTTGTATAATGAGAATCGAGAGATTTCTGTCTCTGGGGAGTTTGTAACAGCTTTGTTTGCTCACTGCACTAGAAGATAGAACCAGAATTCAAATGGCGAGTGAGTAACATCTCACTCTCCCTTCATTCTTAGTCTTCTGCCTGGTGGAAGAAGGAGAGACACTCCTCCTGTGTATGTCCAGACTTGCTAAAGGCTGTTACATTACCCAGGACATTTGAGGTGTCCAAATAGTTAAAGTGAATTTAGAGTGCTCTTGGGTGCCAGTCTTGAAGTCTTGGATGGGAGGTGGAGGGGTTGGGATATTTTCTAAGTACTGGCTGCCATCAGGGAATTCTGCCATGCAGTTCACCTTTACCTCAAGTATTTGCTTCTTTGAACTTGTTAGCTTTCAATTTACCTGATGCACTATGCTTTATAAAAGTAACATTGAGCTGGGAAGGGTTAATGAACTAAAAATTTTAATGCACGTTATGGGCAGTTCAAAACCTCAATTCTTTGTAGCTATGTAATTTTTCTTTGTTCATTGTTTTGCATGATACAAAAATCATAATTTTGGACCTGAATGCACAATTTCCTATGCTTTTGAACTAGCTTGTGGTATCATAAAACTTTAAATCTAACTTTTAAAAAGCTAAAAAAGCTTCTTAATTTATTGTAAAATTTCACCATCTTTAAAGTATTTTATAATTACTGCTGTCCTTTGATTTGTTTCCATTTATTTCTATTATCTTGCAGCATCTTTTATCCAAATTCTTCTTTCTTATAAATCTTGTAAGTAGGAACCAGAAGCTTCTCCTTAATTGCAGTCATGTTTTTATTTTTTCCATAATTCCATTAAAATTTTTGATTGTCATTGTCTATTGTAGTTTTTGCACTTGGGAAGAAAAATATTTTTTCTGTGTTTTGAATGGGGAAGATTGTTGGCAAAAGCAAATTAATCTGCCTGAATCAATCCCATTATTTCTGTATACTAGTCTGGTCATGTCATGAATTCCAGGACTTTGCACTAACTGTGTTTTGGCTTTTTTTCTTTTCTTCTTTTCTTTATTTTTCTTTTTTTTAAGCTTTAAGCTTATTTTTATACAGATTTAGTGTTTGATTTGTATGCATTCTGCATGTAGTGTTTTCCAAATGTATTATTGCTGGATAGCTTATTCAGGACTAAAATGGCTCATGGGAAGTTGCATAAAGATTTATGCTTGACTCTGCATCTATTAAGACTCCTATCATTACAAAACAATTTAAACATTTTATGTAGAGTAATAAAAGATTTCAGAATGATCTGTGTGCTATGAAATCTTTTGTTAAAAGCAACTTTCGAAGGGCTTCCGTTTTGGTGACAACGAATGACCATGATCCTCCTTACCAACCCAGTTTTCTGATTTATCAACCTCAAGTTTGCTGCTGTCTGTGGTTGTTAAAATTCATTCTCATTTGCTTGGTTGGGCAGCTCTTTGGTGTGTGTTGGGGGCGGGGGTGGGAATGCCCTCTCTTCCTCCTTTACTCAGTTCTCATCCTTACCTGCCGTATTCAAACTGGCATATAGTTGCCCTCTTAATTACTTTGTCCATTTGGGTTAATTGTGTAAATTGTAGTTGTTACTCTTCTTAATGGTTAAGCATCATTCTACAGAAGGAGGAAAAAAAAACAGAAAATAAATAATAGAAAAGGCAAATTCTGTATATATCTGTATTCAGATGTATACTATTGTAGTCTTCTGACTAGAAACTCAATGAAAAAATCCTTTTTGTAGAATCTGTTAAGTTGACAATGCTATTGTAAATTGTTACCCATTTCAAAGAAGATGCCAGAGAGCCCTTTTTAAAAAATTAAGACATAGTTGCTAAACAAAAGCATTATTGGATTCTATTGAAGTAGTTATGTAATGACACTAGTATTTGATCTTTGTGTCCAGGGTCCCATGAGCCTATTTGGCATTTTGACAAAAGTAATAAAATGCTCCTTTTCTCTCCCCAGCCATTGCAACACAAGCTAGCATGGAGTTTCGACGAAAAGGGTCCCAAATGTCCACAGACACCATGGTTTCCAATCCTGTGTTTGATGCAAGTGAATTTCCTGATAACTATGAAGCAGGAAGAGCTGAGGCTTGTGGGACATTATGTAGAATTTTTTGTAGCAAGAAGACTGGAGAAGAGATTCTGCCAGCTTATTTATCCAGGTTTTAGAATTTTTTGTTTATTTTTGCATTTATATCATTTGATGGTGAAACACTATTGTGGCATGGCTTGGTAGGCTAATTCAATAAGCTATTATTGGTCTGAAATGCCTGCCAGTGTCTTTATGTAATTGAAACTTGCTTGAATCTTCCATTTTATCTGCCCCATCAGATCTGGTAAAGACTTCTAAGGTTCTATTCTAGAACTATTACTTACTCTATCATTTATAAATTCTGGAGAGATTGGAAGCACCAAAATAGTTTGTTAATAGATTTTTGGCACAACATTAGGTTCTGTATACAGTCCAAAAATAAGTCAGCTGTGAATCTTTAAGGAGTTTAGTGACTGTGGTGAATAGGTTCATGCAAAAATAACAGTGATTCAGTAGGAACCAGAAGTTGGCAGGAGAGAGACACATACACAGATAAATGGTTTTGAGTGTTGGGAGGAAGTAGCAGCCCAGACTTAGCCTACAGGGCTCAGTAAAGAGTTCTGCATATTATTAGATGTTTGTGCTGGATTTAGAAAGGTTGGGTAGTGTTTAGACTTTTGGAAGTTGGGTAGGATTATCTTTCCCAAATCTCTGGCTTTCACCATCTGTGAGTGGCTCTGTTGTCCATTTAGCTGCTCAGGCCAGAACCTAGGCATCATTGGCTTTTGCTTACTCTGTGTTGAGTTGATTATTCAACTCCTGCCTTGTAGCATTTGACCCTCTTATTTCTCTCTCCACTCTGTTCTCACCATGGCCCTTCAGATTTTTTTTGTTTTTCGAGACAGGGTTTCTCTGCGTAGCTTTGCGCCTTTCCTGGAGCTCACTTGGTAGCCCAGGCTGGCCTCGAACTCACAGGGATCTGCCTGGCTCTGCCTCCCGAGTGCTGGGATTAAAGGCGTGCGCCACTACCGCCCGGCCGGCCCTTCAGATTTTGTTATTCTTCCTAAATTTATAATTTTTGATTCTGCTTTGGTCTTCTCCACTATTTACCTATACAGCGGCTTAAGTAAGGTTACACTCAAGTAGAACATTGAGATACCTGTGCTGCTCAGGAAAGATTAGGTCAATTGACTCCTAGCAGAGGGAACCACATCTGAAACATAAGACATAGAAAAACATGGTGTGTACTGGTCAGAACAACCTTGACCATGGGCTCTTATCTTGAAATCTGGTTTAAGTCAGTGAATAAATTACAAGACGCTAGTGATACTGAACAGAGTCTAAGATGAAGCAGTACAGCAAGGACTAGAAAAAGCAGGAGCCAGGGTCTGGAAGGCGTTGAGGGACCAGAGCAGCTCTCGTGCTTCCTGTGCCGCTTGTCTCCTCAGAGTGCTTCATTTTTCTCTGTAGATCCTTTCCCTTCTACTCAGTGTGCGGCCAAGTTCCTGGTGGTCAGAGCCTTGGTCTATGACCAGTGGGGTCAGTTAACATCTCTGAAATCATGTAAGATTCTTGGGAAAGAAGATCTGATTGATTAGGCTTCTGTCTCTGCTCTAGTTGCATATATCTGTGAGGGAAGGTCACATAGGGTGCTGGAGCTTACTGCTCATGAGGAGGACCTGTTTCTCTGAGGGAGATTTTGGGCTGGATAGATATCCCGAATTATATCAGTAGCAATAAAGGAGAAAGCTATGGGCTGGAGAGATGGCTCAGAGGTTAAGCACACTGGCTGTTCTTCCAGAGGTCCTGAGTTCAATTCCCAGCACCCACATGATGACTCACAACCATCTACAATAAGATCTGCTGCCCTCTTCTGGCTTGCAGGCAGAATACTCACTGTATACATAATAAATAAAAAAAAAAAAAAAGGGAGAAAGCTATGAACATGAGCTTTCTGTCTAGTCCAGAAGACTGGGTGAGGGGTCATGAGACAAGCTTAGCAGATTTGTGAGAGGACAAATGATGTATTTAAGTTTCAGTCTTGCATTTCTGGCTTGTAGGATATTTATCCAGAGCTGCACACTAAGTTTCCTGTTTTTAGTTTAATTCTATGTATGCACAGGAGATAGATTTAAAAGAGTTGAACAGGCCCCAGTGAATGAGAAGATTGTTTCCAAAGAGTTTCGCAGAGAAGAAAGTAGTGTCTAGTGGTAAGAAGAGTACAGAAGTGCAGTTGCTCTTAATGCTTAGTGGCTCGGTTGGGGCTTGTAGGGTAACGAAGATATGTGCAGGTAGATTCCTCAAAGGACTCTTTGCACAGTTTTCATGTTATGATGAATGCAGAGTTTAGTGTGGTTCTTTTCTCTCACTAACCTCTCAGAAGCAGTGGATGGAGGAAGGAAAAGATACAAACTCACCTCTGTTTCCTAGGATTGGAATACTGCAAAAATTTATTGCTTTAGAATTCATCAATTTATTGATAAGTAACCAGACATTTGCTTTGTTATAGGTGCCTCATTTGTAGGCACCTGTAATTTGAGTTACAAAAATTTAAAACTTTAAAAAAGTGTAATAGCTACAGATCTATGATTCTGAATTGTTGAATCCTAGTAGTACCTTTAAAGTCTATATACTAGAGTGAAGAGTGGACAAAGGCTCTTCAGATCACTATATAGAAAATATTGATAATTCTGGAAATATTTGATTAGCAGTTTGTTGAAAATTTTTTTCTTGCTTTCCTAGATTTTACATGCTTTTAATTCAAGGTTTGCAGATAAATGATTATGTGTGCCATCCTGTCTTGGCCAGCGTTATTCTAAACTCCCCTCCTTTGTTCTGCTGTGACTTGAAAGGGATTGATGTTGTGGTTCCTTACTTTATTTCAGCTCTTGAAACCATTTTGCCTGACAGGTAAGCTGTCATTTTTCTACTACATGTTAGTTGTGTAGTTTGGCTTGGTCTGTTTTACTTCCTCTTGTTTGCTAATTTATCCTGTCTAGTTGTTTTCACAGTCCAGTGGGACCCAGGCTACATTAAATTGAGTAGAGAGCATCCAAACCCTCCCAATCCCTGAATGCCTTCAGTTCTGATATGACCATGGGCTTACTGGATCCTTTCTGGCTTGGTCTAGATGGGTCAGAAAAAACCCAGCCTGAGATCCTACTGTTATAATGTAGGCCTTACATTTTCAGTCAAATTCTAGCTTAATTCAGTACTTGTGTGACATAGATGTTCTCATATATCCAAGTAATAGTGTAACATAGAAGTCCTCATATATGCTTGGATTGTGGGGAAAAAATGGCACAGTATATATTTGGCAGTAGGTAAAAATACTCTTTAACTGAAAAATGCTAATAACTTTTTATCTTTTGGCAGAGAACTCTCAAAATTCAAAAGCTATGTAAATCCAACAGAATTGAGAAGATCCTCCATTAATATCCTGCTTTCTTTGTTGCCCCTTCCTCACCATTTTGGCACAGTCAGATCTGAGGTAATGTTTCTTTAAATATACCCCCCCCCCCTTTTTCATGATGCATAGTCTTGCTAGGAAGCCCAGTTTGGTTGTAAACTTGAAACCCTTCTGTCTCAGCATCCTGCCAACCATTATTAACATTTTTTTTGTATTCTATATACTGTTTCTTTTATGCTAATTTAAGTCAAATTGTACTTTTAACAAAATGGAACAGGAGCTTTAGAAAAGTGACCTTTTAGCCCTGCGTGCCCACACAGGCCTTTAATCCCAGCACTTGGAGGCAGAGGCAGATGGAGCTTTGTGGGTTTGAGGCCAGCCAGGGCTATACAGTGAGACCCTGCCTCAACATTACATAAATAAATGATTATTTTAAAATACACATTTCAATGGATAAGTACATATTTCTAATAGATTAATGAATTTTTTCTGGTTTGGGTATTTCTTCTTTTGAAAGTGCCAACATGCCTTGACTTACTATTAATGTGTCTGTAGCTAATGACATCTGATTACAGGTGTTGAATGGGAGTGACAATTAGACTGGAAGCTTGGATCATTAGCTCATTAGCCTGTTCACCTTCTGTCCCCTCCTGCTGTTTCTAAATGGGCGTCATGTACAAGAGCTGATGTGAAGTATTTGTTTTTTTCTCCAGGTGGTCCTAGAAGGAAAGTTTAGTAATGATGACAGCTCTTCTTATGATAAACCAATAACTTTTCTGTCCTTGAAGTTGAGACTTGTGAATATACTAATAGGTGCCTTGCAAACAGAAACGGACCCTAACAACACCCAAATGATACTAGGTTTGTGTTCAGTTTGTTTGATTGTTTGCTTGTTTTTTTTTTTTGCTAAGTGAAACCCAGGTACTAATGACCACAGGCCTGCTGGGGACACAAGTGAGAGGATCCTAAGCCTGATACAACTCTTAGGATTCTGAGTCAGAAGTAGAGTTTTTTTTTGTTTTTGTTTTTTGCTTTTTATAGAAAGATTTAAGGGGATCTGGCAAGATAGCTCAGTGGTTAAAGATGCTTGCCACCAAGATTCACAGACCTGAGTTTGATCCGCAGGTCCCACATGGTGAAAGGAGAAAACTGGTTCTTTCTAGCTGTCCTTTGACCTCTACACAATGCCATGGTATGCACATAGCCTTTTTCTCCCCAAATAAGTTAAATAAATAAATAAATGTAGTAAGCAATTAAAAAAGAAGACTTAAGGAGATGAGATGAGGGATAGAAAGCATTGAGTTGTCTTGTTTATGGTGCCCCTCCCCACCCCTTTGTCCTAGCTTCCTTCCCTCTCTTCCTTTTTTCCTTCCAGTAGTTGGGGTGAGTGCTTAGGAAGTCTGGTCTGGTAGGTAGGCAGTAGGAAGGTGGACTCAGTAGTGATTGTGAATTGTTTAGTTTGACAAGGAGCTGAAGGAACAGGAGGTAACACACACCTTTTTGTGTTAGTGCTCACATCGTTGTAGAAGAAGAAAAAAAGCCAAGGAGGAAAACTGGAAGCAAGAGAAGTGGAGCCATGCAAATTCTGTACTTGGGAAGTGCATATAAATTTTCCATGTTATAAGAATATTTTAAACCAGAGAGGAAAAAAAAATAATGTTCACATGGATGGTATTGTCAGAAAGAAAAGAATGTAAAAAGTTTAATCCAGTGCATTTGGGGGAGAGGGGATGCTTTGGAGTTGGTCAGCAAGATGGTTCGTTGGGTTAAAAGTTCTTGCCTTGCAAAACTGATGACCTGCGCTTCATTCCTGGATCCTACTTTGGAAGGAAAGAACTGATTCCTGAAAGTTGTCGTTTAACATCTACATACACTGTGGCGTGAATATGCATGCACCTCCCACCCAATAAAAATACAGTCTTTGCAGGCATATCAGAATTTGGGGACTTATAAAGCATTATCTTTTTTTTTTTTAACCCATCAATATATTTATTCATAATCTTCAGAGAATTTCAGGAATGCTTTGCCAAAATTTCTCCTTTCTTTTTTTTAGGGGGAGGGGAAGAGACACAGTGTCTTGTATAGCCCAAGTGTTTTTAGCTGATAGCAGCCTTCCTGCCTCAGGCCTCCGAGTGCTAGGGTTATGTGTATGACCACTCCTGGCTCCAAATATTTGCTCTGACTGAGCTATTGACTGTAATTATATGTCATGTAAACTGCTTTGTTTGTTTTGTTATTGCAGGAGCAATGTTAAATATTGTTCAGGATTCTGCACTTTTAGAAGCCATTGGTTGCCAAATGGAGATGGTAAGAAGCTTATATAATGTCATAGAATATCTGTTTCTGATTTTATCTAAATCATACTTAACAGTGCTGGAACTGAACCTAGGGCCTCACACATGCTAACCAAACTGTCTACCTCTGAGCTGTATCCTCAACCCATTGTTTTATTTTTTGAGGCAGTCTCACATGTAGCCCAGGCAAGTCTCAAACTGTGTATTTAGCTGAAGATGACCTTAAACTCTTGGTCCTTCTGTCTTCACATATGTGCACCCCCACACCTGTTTGTTTGTTTTTCCCATTTTTCTTTATTAAGAAATTTTCTACTCATTCCACATACCACCTACAGATCCCACTTCCTCCCTCCTCCCACCCTCCAGCCCTCTCTCCCAAGCTACCCCACATCCCCACATCTCCCAAATCAAGGTCTCCCATGGGGAGTCTGCAGAGCCCGGCACACTGAGCCTAGGCAGGTCCAAGCTCCTTCCCATTGCACCAAGGCTGTGCAGGGCGTCATGCCACAGGCACCGAATTCCTAAAAACCTGCCCGTGCACCAGGGATGGATCCTGATTCACCTCCCTGGGTGCCCCCCAAATAGTTCAAGCCAAACAACCATCTTCAGTATCCAGAGGGTCTAGTCCAGTCCCATGGGGGCTCCACAGTCACTAGTCTACAGTTCATGGGCTTCCACTAGCCACACCTGGTTTTTAAAGGTGTTTTGTTCATAAATTTCAGCTTATAGACTCAGAATGGTCCTTTTTTAAAACATCACACATTTTGAGATTTTTGCTTGTTCAGTACCTCATCAGGTCCTAGGGGGAATCCTGCATGACAGAAACCCAGCTGGGATAGTTTTGTCCGAATATTCTAGGAAAGGACTTCCTAGTTCCTTCTATCCCTAACAGATATAAGACTACCTGTAAGATCTGCTATCTTTATTGTAGTTCCTGTAGACAGAAGTGTACAGGTGCCCAAAGCACCATTACTTAAAATCTCCCTAGAGATGGACAGTGTCTCTTGCTTCTTCCTTCTAGATATGTGATCATTACACTTGGGGTAGGTTGAGGTATGGGGAAGTAGTAAGGTATAATGGGGTGAGCTGGAGAAATGAAAAAAATTATTAATGAAATTCATTAATGTTCTAGTAGATGGCTAATAATGTACTGATTTGGATACAGCAGGTTCTGTTTATGTGGGGAAAGTTACAAGAAATCTTTAACAAATGGGTTTATTTGCTCTTCTGTGTATGGGAATTTATACTAACTGTAGTTATTTTATTGTTTGTACTCTATGGTACAACTACATTTAAAAGTTGCTGGTGTGTGTGTGTGTGTGTGTGTGTGTGTGTGTGTGTGTGTGTGTGTGCGCGCGCACCCAAATGGGTATAGGTGGAGGTGACCTTGGAGGATGTCAGGTATTCTGCACTATTGCTTTGCCTTATTGCCTTACGACCACATCTTTGATGATCCTGGAGCTAAACTGGCAGCCAACAAGCCCAGTGATGCTCCTGTTTCCACCCTGCACAGTGCTGTCATTATAGACATGTGGGTGGCCATGACCAGCTTTTTACATAGGTCTAGGGATTTGAACTGAGGTTTTCATGCTTGTAAGTGAGTGCTCTTACCCTTCTTTCCCTCTAGCTTTTTTTTTTTTTTTTTTAAAGTAGGTTCTGTGGATCAAATTCTGGTCTTCATGCTTGAGTGGTAAACACTTTATTGACTGAGATAATCTCCCAGCCCCATATTGTCTTTATTTGAAATTTATATTCCTGTTCAGAGGTTTTGTTCCAGAGGCACTTCAAGTATTTTCCTTAATGACTCAGTTATTAACTAGTGAACTGTAGTGTATGTAAAGGGCTCTGAGGTGGCCCTTTGAAAAACAGCATGGGAGACCCAGTATGGATACCTGTAGTTATCAAACCCTGTATACCCTTTTAACAGATGGCATTAGAGCAACATCCCCACAGTGATTCCAACCCCTTGTCTGTTTCTCTGTGTATCTACCACCTTTGCTAGCTAGCCTGTTAGGTTTGCATTACTGCGATGAACCTAGGGCCTCATGCTTGTGAGGCAGGTGCTGTACTCCTGAGCCACAGCCCCGACTCTAAACAATTTTTGTTTGTTTTGGTTTTTCAAGATGGTTTCTCTGTGTAGCCCTGGTTGTCCTGAAACTTGATTTGTAGACCAGGCTGGCCTTGAACTCAGAGAACCGCCTGCCTCTGCTTCCCAAGTGCTAGGATTAAAGGCATGCACCACCATCACTTGGTTATCTAACAAATTTTTAATAACTTATTTTTATACTTGTAAACTGTTCATCTTGGTTCATTTCATTTGGCTAGGGTGGTGGAGAAAACAACCTGAAGAGTCATAGTCGCACTAATAGTGGCATTAGTTCAGCAAGTGGAGGAAGCACAGAACCTACGACGCCTGATAGTGAGAGGCCTGCTCAGGCTCTCCTAAGGGATTACGGTGAGCTGTGTTTAAAACAGTCTGTTAGCATTTACACGTGTACTAATTAATTCTCTGATTTACAAAACAAGCAAAATTAAAACTTCTCAAGAATCGAAAACAAAAATAAAAGTTTTATCTACTAGGTGTGATTGACAGAAGATGTTAGTTTAAAAAAAAAAACTAAGGAAAAGGTATTTTTCTGATTTCTTGTAGCTGGTTTTAGAGGTTGTTAGATCTTACAGATGTGTATGATGAGAGGTCATGAGGTGTTTGAGTTCTGTACCAGGCGCTAGTGATACAGGTTCACACAAGATGTGGGCCTCGCTTCAGAGCTCTCAGAATAATGGCAGAGATGGTCAGTGAGCCCCGTCACTGCAGCTGTGAGGGAAGTAATGGAAGTTGACCCAGAGAAGCATGTGTTACCATGCTAAACTTAGATAGTCTGTCTTGTAAGGTTCTTGAGTTACAAGAATAAAGAGAGATTTTCTGCTCTGCTAAATAAAGCACTTGCCAGGAAAACATCCTGTTCAGTGATGTCCTTTACTCTGAGCAGAATTTATGGGCTTAGTGTGAGCACTGTATAATGTTTTTTATGCACAAATGCTGATAGTGATTGAATCTGGGTTTATTCCTTGAGATTAGAATATCTGATTCCCTAGATGTGAGCCTAACTTTGTAATCATCTGGAGAATCCATGAGCCATGTTCATGAGGCATGCTTTTCATAATTGAATTGATGATACGTTACCTGTCAGCATGTCAAATACATAGAGTCATTATGTGGATATTCAGTACATTTAAATTGTCACTCTTTATGTAGATTTAGGCATTCTCTAGGTTGAACTGATTCTTGTTTCTAAGCCATTTAAAACTAAAGATACTTCGTGTTACTGCATGTGTCGTATATAAGTGTTTGAACTGATTGTTCCAGCATTTTCAGCTGGTGTTAGTGAGCTCTGCTTGTTATGTCATAGTTTTTACTAAAAGATCCAGATTTGTGTCAGTGTCGCATGACTGTCTCTTTAATGATCATTCCTTTTTCTGTTGTCACTGCCCTCTTTCTGATAGGATCCACAGGTATAATGCCCCTAAAGCTTCCTTTTTAATTACAATTTAATTTATCCTCCTTTAATTTCTTGGAATTCACTCCTAACTGAGTAATAATTACTTTAAATATAAAATTGAAGTCCAAGAAAAACAATGACTTGGTTATTTAACCTTTTTAAAGGTTTTAAAATAGTGGTAAAGAGTTAAATGTAAACCTGGGTTTGAAAAGGCATTGCATGTGGTTTTTACTGGTTTAAACCCTATCATTTCAAGAGATGCTTTAAGGTAATTCCTAGCATCCGAGGAGGCTATCAGATTGAATTCTTGCCTCTGTAAAACTCTAAGGAAATACTTGGTTGCCTTTTCATTGTTCTTTTTGAAAATTAAACTCTATAAGTTATTCATTTAAAAATTAAAGACACCATTTTTCATTATAAAGATGGTACTGAAACTGCCAAGTCCATAGTGTTCTTTGTCAGAGAGTGGACTGGGAGCTAGAAGCTGGTTCAGCCTCATGTGTGCCTTGCACACCATCAGTCAGGCCTGGTGCTCAGGCTGGTGGGTGGGGAGCATAGCTCTGTGTGGGTGCCCATTGTGCTCACTGTGGCTGCTGTGGTCTGTGCCTGGTGGAATGCTGTGCTTCTGTTACTAATGCTTAGTTGTTTTCCCTCCCTGTGGATGTGGCATTGGGTTATATCCTAGCTCTTAATACAGATTCAGCTGCTGGGCTCCTGATTCGCAGCATTCATCTCGTCACCCAAAGACTCAACTCTCAGTGGCGGCAAGACATGAGCATATCCCTGGCGGCTCTAGAACTCCTCTCTGGCCTGGCAAAGGTGAGGACTGTCCCTTAGTTTAGTTCAGCAGGCTTGTGTCATGCCTTTTTTTTTTTTTTTTTTTTGTATTTTGACACCCACCCCCTTTGTGTAGGTATTTTAGGATTGTCAGTATATGTGCATATTTTACATCCAGAGTATATAAAATCGAGCCTCCAAGTGAAATTTTGCAAGCTGAAAAATAGATGCAAAGGATGTGAATATTTCTGTTAAGGTACAGAAAACATTTCAATAATGATGACTCTTTGCAAATAATAGTATATTTATTGCTTTTATAAAGAACATTTATCATAAAGTATTTCTGTGATTACTATTTTCTGTTATCAGTATTAAGCAAAAATTGACTATATATTTATATTTCTCTCACAGTTATTTCAGTTTTGTGGAACCTTAGAAATGGGGTTCACTTGCACTTAAGTCTCAGTCTCTCTCTGAAATTCATATAACATAAAACTAACCATTTAAAGCAGGTGATTCAGTGACTGTTAGTACATTTGCAGTGTAGTGCAACCTACCATCTCCATTTCCAAGTGTTTTTGTCACCTTGGAGGGAAATCCCTGAGCCTCAAAGCAGTTGCTTTCTTGACCACTCTCACAGCCACCGCCTCCTCTGACAGCCACTGATCTTCATTTTGTTTCTTTGGCTCTACCCAATCAGGATCATTCACCGAAAGGGATCAGTAGGAAAATCATGTAATGTGTGTCATTACGAGAGTGCCTGTCTTTCTCACTTGAGAAGTAATTTTTGAGTTTCAGCCCTTTTTTAGGATTGCACAGCACCATCCTGAATGTAATTATCACTGTTTGTTTGCCTGCTCATTAATTGAGAGGTATTTAGACTCTTACTAGTAGAGCTGCTGTGGATGTATGGGAACATGTATTTATTTGGAATATCAGTTTTCAGTTTTTTGGGTATGTACTAAGGAGTGAAATTCTTGGGTTTATGGAAATTCTGTTTAGCTTTTGAAGAACTGCAGATTGTTTTCCACAACACTGAGTCCTTTTTCATTCTTTTCATTAACATACAAGGCTTCCAATTTCCCCACATCCTCATTATCATCTGAGTGTTTTTTATTATTAAAATGGAAAAGATTATTTTCCATATACCACTTGGTATTGTGAGGATCAGATGAGATGAAAATATAAAATTCATTGTGCTCATATAGTGGTACTCATCACAGAAGTGGTAGTGTCTGAGATGAAGCGTAGGCCTTTACTTCAAAGTTGTCTTACAAACTGTGAGAGACAAAATAGACAAGAAAACTTAGTGTGTTTTGAACACTACTTGGAACTTAACTCAAAAACCCCCCAATGTAATAGATACATGAGGAACAGTTGCTGATTTAAATATTAGAATACCCATTCATGAGACATGGTAAACCATACAGAGAGCAAGGTGCTGTTCCCTGTGACTTGTGATCTATTTTCAGTTTAAGATGCAGTTAGCTTGGATGGAACACTGCTCTGGACCTGGGTCATCATATATAATGGGCTAATACTACCTGATTCCATGACTCTCTGTAAAGATAAAGTGATTAAACAGTCTGGTGTTAGAACAGGGTTGAATGAATAGATCAGTGGTCTATAATTGAGACTTCATGACCACACTTATGTGACTGTCTGGTTTTTGACACATGGTACAAAGATAACTAAGGAGAAAGGGTAGTCTTTTTGACCAGTGGTACTGATAGAAAACTTGGTTTCATACCTGTTTTGTATATGGTAGGTACAAAAATCAGCTAAAAATGGATTGTAGACTTAAATGTAAAAATGTATTAGTTATTTGTCTCATGCTGTGACAAAATACCCTGACAAAAAAGCAGCTTCAGGATAGAAGGGTTTATTTTGGCTCACAGTTCAAGGGTATTATGGCGGGGATGTCAAGGAAGCAGGAGCTTGAAGCAGCTAGTCACGTTGAGTCTGCAGTCAGGAAGAAGAGAGCAGATGAATGCTTGTGCTCAGCTGGCTTCCTCCTTTTTGTGCAGTCCAGGACCCAAACCCAGGGAATAGTGCCACTCTCCTTTAAGGTGAGTTTTCCTACCTCACTCTCATTAGTTGTTAGGGAAATGTAATTAGATTCACCTTGAAAGACTATTATATACTCAATAGAATGGCTAAAATTGAGGGCGAGAAGCATAGCTTAGGGTAAGAGTGCTTGCTGTGCAAGCATGAGGACCTGAATTCATATTGCCATCACCCATTTAAAAAGCCAGGAGTGACCACAGGGACCTCAGAGTGGCATGTGGAAATAGGCAGGCGCCAGGAGTGTCCTAGCCTTCAGCTTAGCTGAAACAGGAAGCTTTAGGTCATGTGAGAGACCCCATCTAGGGAATAATGTAGAAAGCAATAGAACTGTGGGTTGAGACCCCTTTGAGGGCTGGATGACCCTTTCACAGGGGTTGCCTGAGACCATCAGAAAACAGATGTTTACATTGCTATTCATAACAGTAGCAAAATTACAGTTATAAAGTAGCAACAAAAAGAGTTTTATTGAGTCACCACAAGGTGAGGAACTATGTTAAAGGGTTGTAACATTAGGAAGGTTGAGAGACACTGTGATAGAAAGGCACCCAGCTGTCCTCCTGTGGCCTCTGCATACACACAAATGCATGTACCCATAGAAACATGTACATGTATGCATACAACACACACACACACACACACACACACACACACACACACACAAAGAAACAAACAAACAAACATAGGCTAAATTTAAAAAGACTTGACCATATCAAATGTTGATTAGGATATAAGGAAATTGTTAATGAGAATGTTAATTATAATAACCATTTTGGAAAACAGTTTAGCAGATCCTTAAAAATTTAATAATACATGTATCTAATGACCCTGTCATTCCAGTCCCAATATATAAGAGAACATACATCTAGTCAATGATGTGGATATTCATAGCAACTATATTTGTAATATCCACAGGATGGAAATAACCCAAATGTCCATTAACAGGTTACTGGGTAGAAAAATTGTGCTGTATTCATATACTGGAATATACTCAATACAAAGTAAAAAACATTACAAAAAGTAGATACATCTGAAAGTAATTAATTATGCCAAATAGAAGAAAGAAGCTAGCTAAATACCTTTCCCCCAAGTAGATATTATAGAACTTATTATATTTTAGGAAATATAGTCCAATCTATTATGATAGCAGATAAGCAGCTCCTCACAGAAGGGAACAAGAGGAATGGGAGGAGGCTTACAGAGGTGCATGAGGACATTTGGGGTGATGCTTATATTTATTACCCCATTGTAGCGACAGTTCTCTGAGGTTACATACTTTGAAACATGTGTAACTTACTGTGATGGATAATTGAGCCTTCTAAGCTGTTTCACTAGACTTTGTGCAGAGCAAAAAGAGGTTGGGTTTGGGACTTTAAAACACACATGTTCCTTTTCTGGCTATTCCTGCACATTTTACAATGTGAGTAAGTGCATCCAAGAACTTTGGGTTTTAAGGTGTGAACAACCATGCTAGAGTAAAGTACTGTTTTAGGATTTGAGAATGCCACTTTTTTGTAGTTTATCTGTAACAGTCTGTTCCTGTATATAAATAATATTTAAAAACAAGGCCTCTTGTGTATCATATTATCAGATAGGCTCAGTTGCAGGGCAAATGCTTGGCTTAATGGTTCCTGACTAACTGGTTTCGTTCCTTAAATGGACATGCTTAGGTGAAGGTGATGGTTGACTTGGGAGACCGAAAGCGTGCCATCAGTTCTGTGTGCAGTTATATTGTATACCAGTGCAGTCGGCCAGCTCCTCTTCACTCCCGGGATCTGCACTCCATGATAGTGGCAGCATTTCAGTGTCTCTGTGTCTGGCTGACAGAGCACCCTGACATGCTGGATGAAAAGGTGAGCTTATTCTGTCTTGAAACACTAGGTAGGAATAAAACGGTTTGTTGAGAAAATACCTTTTAAAAGAGAACATCTGAATTTAAATACAGTGTCATATACTTTGAATGTGCTTGTTTGATTTCAGTAGGACACTTACTCTTTTGAGCATAACTTGAAAACTGTCATAATGCGTAGATTTGTTTCCACACAATCCCACAGAGAAATGATTTAATGAAAGAAAAGACCTTGCCTAATTTTTCTGAAACAGCAAGACTTCTTTTTATAAAAAATAATATTCTCATTAATTCTTGTAAAAATTCAAAGTGTATTTTGAACATACTCAACCTCTTTTACCAAGATCTACCCTCACTTCCTTACCTACCCAATTTTGAGATCTTTTTTCCCTATATTGAGTCCAGTTTGTATTTTCTAGCTACTATGGGGAGTGGGTCCTGCCCTGGAGTACAGTCAACCTCCCACTGATCATGTCATTGCAGAAAGTTGGTTCTATCCCTCCCAGTGGTTATCAGATATGATCACACATGCCAATAGCTCCCCAGCTAGTGATAGTATTTTTTGCCTATTTCTACCGCCTCAGTGCTGGAGTTTTGGTTGAGCAAGCTCAAGCCTTTTGTATGTGTTCACAGTTGCTATGCGCTCATATGGACAACTGCTGGATCTGGAAAAGTCCATTTTTTTTTTTTTTTTTATAGGATGGCAAACTGGAGATAGCTATTAATGCTACTTGGTTTCTTGTTATCAAACAAAGAAGGGCACTTAATTGTGAATCTGCAAAGCAAGGACACAGCTTAGCTGTAAACATTACTTTATTGAAACATTGTATTTCTCACAGGTTTCTGCACTTTCAAATGGGTACAGATATGTAGTCTGTTTTCTCTGCCACTGTACCTTACAGGGAAGCAGGCATAATGAGCTCAGCGACAGTAGAGCTTCCCAATGTCACTGGATATTTAGAAAGATAGAGATCTTTGTAAGTAATATTGTTGATAAAGTCTGAGTTATTTTCATTGTAGCTTTTAAAATTATGATAGCAAAAATTGTTTACAGGACTAGACTTGTAGCCAAGTTTAACACAATGCTTGCTTAGCATTTCTGAAGTGCTCCTTTTGATCCCTAGAACTACATCAACCAGCAGCTGTGATGGTGCCTATTTTTAATTCCAGGTACTTGGGAGATAGAAGGAAGAGCAGAAGGTCAAGGTCATCCCGGGCTACATAATGAATTAGAGACGAGCCTGGGCCACAGGAAAATCTGTTACACAAAATAGTTTTAAATATAAATTATTTTAAGATGCCAATCGTTGGGGATGGTGGCACTTGCTTGTAATCCTAGCACTTAAGAAGCAGAGATAGACCTGGCAGTGGTGATGCACATCTTTAATGTGGGAGGCAGCACTTGGGAGGCAGAGGCAGGCAGATCTCTCTGAGTTTGAAGCTAGCCTGGTCTACAGAGCTAGTACCAGGACAGCTAGGGCTGTTGCACAAAGAAACCCTGTCTTCAAAAACCAAAAACCAAAAAAAAAAAAAAAGAAGAAGAAGAAGAAGAAGCAGCAGCAGCAGCAGAAGCAGAGGTCCTGGGTTCAGTGTCAACTTTGTCTGCATAGTGAGTTTGAGGCCAGCCTGAGCTCCATAGTGAGATCCTGCCTCAAAAAATAAATAATTAACCTCTTTGATATATTAGGTAATCTGATGTATCTTAAACCATCTGGGTTTGGCGGAATTACTTCTGAATCTGTTTTACTTATTAGCCTTTCAGGGTTTGTGATAATCCATGGCAATTTTGTGAGCTCTGTAACTGATCAAATTAAAACCTGTCTTTAGTCTCCTTCTGGACACAGAAATTTAGTTCTTTTGATGGAGGTTAAGTTTATTATATTATGATACAAACGTATCTGTTAAAGAGCATTAGAAACTGGAGCTCGGCCCCAAAACATAACCATTGTCTTCTCTTAAGTAATGTGTATAAAAATTGATCAGGGTTGGTGAGATGGTTCAGCAGGTGAAAGTGCTTGCCACCAAGTCTGATGATGACTTTCGTGTGATTACTGAGTCCCATATGGTATGAGAAGAGAACCAGCTCTCCAGAATTGTTCTCTGACCCTGGCTTGTACACAAACACACATACACCCTCTCTTAAATAAAGTAAATAAATGTGTTTGAAATATTTTAAAAACTCATTCTGTCTTTTCCTCCTTCTAGGATTGCCTTAAGGAAGTACTGGAGATTGTAGAACTGGGTATCTCAGGAAGCAAGTCCAAGAACAGTGAGCAAGAGGTCAAGTACAAAGGCGATAAAGAGCCAAATCCTGCATCTATGAGGGTAAAGGATGCTGCAGAAGCCACTTTAACATGGTATGGAAGCAGCTGCTGAAGACTGAGCTGTAACAGACAGGGCAGCAGTGGTCTGTGCTGCTCTGTCTTCCTTGTTCAGCACAGAGTAACAGCCCCTGTAGGGTACTACATCTCCAAACACAAAATGGAACGAAATAGTCTTTTTGTATTCATTCTTAGACCAACAAGAAACCAGAAAGTTGGGATCTTTATATTTCCATGCTGGCTGATAACTAACTCAGGTCAGCTCATACTAGAGCCAGGAATTATCTTGGAGCTACTTCTTCCCCTTCTTTCATGGCTAAGCCTAGAGATGTCACAGCATCAGATCTGCTACCCAGTGGTGGTCTCTACTATACCTTTTATGTTCAGCTAAGATTTTTTTTTTTTTTTTTTAATTTAAACTCCCTTGTCAAAGCTTGGTAATAGAATCATACAGATAAGTCCGATTCAGTTACTGAATGAATACTATCTGGTTGAGTAGGGAAGATGAATAGAAACACAAAGTCCTTCAATATCAGGTGGATATAAATGTCCCCAAAGAAGAGATACAAATCAAATGGCAGGGACCTGGGAGGAGGAAGTGAGTACTTTGAGATAAAGTGAAAGCAAAGTAACATGCTTATGGAGCCACATTGACCCCGACTGAGAGGATGGGCAACATTTGAGCTGTGAGCAGTATCGCAGGCAATTAATAATGTATGTCACATGGAAACAAGGGGTTGTTTTTTTTAAAAGAATGGCAGAAAGAGCTAAGAAAGTCCTTTGTACTTGGTGGATTGGAGGCCTGGGAAGAGGACTGAGTTTGGGCCCATTTGCAGATTGAAGGGACTGAATAAGTAGAGATTGCATAGAGTCATAGATTGTGTGGCTCATTCAAGGATGAGTATGAATGAAAACCTAGGAAAACAGCCACAGGAAGGAAGAGTGTCAGGTTAGTAAGGGCTGGCTTGGAGATTTGTGTGTAAACCAGCTCTGCCTAAGATCCTGACATCTTTTGTGAGTGCAGTGTCCTTTCCTTCTTTGGGTTATATTCAGATTAGTTGGATTTGTTTCTGTTGTTCTTGGGCTTAGCTCATAATTTTCAGAATGCTTGCTTTTCTTTAGAACTGTGTACTCTGGTAATAGCTAAACTTAGTGCCTTTGTTGAGCTTTAGCTAATAGCTAGAAAATTGATGAGGATAGCTATGGCAGCATGTGCGCGTGCAGCACGTGGGCTGGGGGAGCCATAAAGTGCACAGCACTGGGACTTGATAATGAATCAGGAAGAGGAAGAAGATAGGAGATAAGCAGGGAGAATCTTGCTCACTAGGAGTTTTTGAGTTCTTTGTGTTGCAGGAAGTTTGTTCCACTCTAGCCTGATTGTTCCTGTGAGAGCATAGTTACTGCTAGGGACTGGCTATGTGCCTGGGCTCTTTCTCCCTCAAGCTATAGTTCTCTGAATGGCTCTGTCTTTATTTTTTTGCTGTTTTGTCTCTGTTACCAAGTCCATCTGCCAGGATGTCTTTGGTTTCCACTCTTGAACAGTGCAGAGTTCCATCATGGTGGAGCATGTTCCCAACCAGTTTTTCTGTTCTCTCATAGTTGCTGCTTGTTTGTCGGCATCACCATTGGTTGTTCTGGTTTGTTTTGATGTTTTTCGAGGCAAGGTTTCACTGTTTCTGGCTGTCCTGGAACTCACTATATAGACCAAGCTGGCCTCGAACTCACGGAGATCCATCTGCCTTTGCCTCCCAAGTGCTGGGACTAAAGGCATGCGCCCCCACAACTAGCTGTTACCATTGTTTTCAGTTTTTTTTTTTTTTCTCTGATTTGTATCTCTGTCGTTCCTCATGAGACCAGCAGCAACTGTGTCCAATACACTTATCATTGTAAGGACTTCACACTGTCCCCTGAAGCCTTAGATAGTATTCTGTACTAGGTCACCTCACTTCTTGCATGGTTTCTGTTTCTAGTCTTTTAACTCTTCCTGTTTGTCTTGCACTCTGTGGTTAAACTCTTCTTCAACACCATTTCATCCTACTGCTTGAGTGATTAAAAACCTTGAGTAGATCTCGTTTCCTACCATGTCTGAATTCCGGTGGAGGGCCAGGGAGGTCCTCCCACCACTGCTCCCTAGTACTCCCTTGCCATCGTTTGGCCACTTGTAGTGGTGAACTGGGCATGTTCATACCTGCTTATGCATCTCTCCTGTATTTCAGGCAGTGTCATATACCGTTCCATGCTCACAGTAAATCTAGCTACTTGTACAAACCTCCTTTTGTTATTCTGATTTTTGAAGGACAGTGTTTTTCACCTTTACACTCATTGTCTGCCTGTCTCACATAGTGTTGTGTTCCATATTATCAGAGTCATACTGAGTTTATTTGGTACATGCCAGTCTGTCTTCGATAACATTCATAAAGTACATATTAACTTGTTGGGTTTCTAAACCATGGCATATTAAAGTATAAATTCAGAATTCGTGCTCTTAGAAGTCATTTCAGCGGTCCCGCTGCTTAAGATGCATTTACTAAAAGCTTACCTTTAATTTGGGTTTAAAGTTTAGCCCCTAAGATTTCCCACTTCATTTCAATTGTTAAAAGCTTGATGTTCTATATCAAACTCTCATGTTAACTTGTTCTCATTGGTTCTTGTTCAGACTTTTAGTAGTAATTCTTTCTCCAGGCGGCAGCAGTATACAGAGATAATGTTTATGTTGCTCTGGTTCCTTTCTGCTAGTGCCTTCATGTGGTTTTCATATTACATGGATTTGCATGCCTTGATCATACTGTCACTCAACTGGTATAGCTTTGAGCATGTATCTTTCACAGGTAGATAGATCACTGAGGACAGTGTTCTACATGGGATCTGAATGTTTTCAAACTCCGTAGAACAGTGTATTTCATCATCCTCTGTTGGGAGATAGCAGCAAGACTTCAAGCACTGGAGAGTCGTATTACGTTAACTGGACTCTTGAGTCTTTGCATGTTTCCTTTTCTTCTGTGCTCTCATACTGTGCCTGTTTGTTTGGAAGTGCTGAAATTTCTTTTTGTGGGATCTTCCACATCATCTGTAGTCTTTTTAAATCCTAGCTCTTATTCTGATATATGATTTCTGCAGATTAAGTTTTAGTCTGTCATAGGGTTTTGTTTTTTTTCTTAATTATTTTGCCTTCTTTCTTCCCTAAGATAGGGTCTCACTGTGTAGCCCTGGCTATCCTGGAACTCACTCTGTAGACCAGGCTGGCCTTGAACTCTCAGAGGTCCTCTTGCCTCTGCCTCCTGAATGCTGGGATTAAAGGTGTGTACTACCATACCCTGCTCTTTTCAAAAACAAAGCAAAACATGTGTGCATGGGCATGTGGGTGTTGGAAGACAACTTTTGAGAGTCTTTCTCTCCTTTTCATGTGAGTTCCAGGAAATCCAACTCTGGTTGTTGGAATTGATAGCAATAGTCTTTGCCCACTGAGCCATCCTACTGGTTCTTGTTTGTTTTTGAGGCAGATTCTCACTTTTTAGTCCAGGCTGGCCTCAAATTCATTGCAATCCTCCTGCCTCAGCTTCCTGGATGTTGGTATTACAGGCATGAACAAACATTATGAGCTTGTTTTCTATGTTCTTATCAGAACACTGCTTATAGAAAGCAGAGGTTGAACCTCAGAGTATATTAGCAGAGACTCCTTGGAGATTCACAAGGACTTTTAATCTTTATCTGCAGGTTTATCATGACACAGTCAAGTACTTGTCTTAATTTTAGAGATGTTTACTCGAGTGACTCCAGTCTACTCACTTCCGGGAAGAGAAGAATGTGGTGAGGCTGGTAATGATTTCATCTAATCAGCCTAACCTCTTCCAGAAGCCTGTTTGATAACATCCTAGATCTTACATGGAACATGACAACAAGCTTACAGGCCTGTGTGCTTTGTGACATCTCTCTCTGTTCTTAGTACTAGTCTCCTGGGCTGGTTCGTGTTTTCCACAGTCATTAGAGGACTGAACTTACTGAGTCCCTCATTCCTTGAGTTGTTGCAGTCCTGCACTGCAAGGAAGCCATCTGCTGGGAAACAGTGCCTTCCATCATCAGAGATCTTAGCTGAAGAGGAGTGATAAATGGTGTCAAGGGTTGTGGAGATGACTCAGTGCGTAAGAGCACTTGCTGTACAAGCCTGAGTGCCTGACTTCAGAGCTCCAGTACCCATGTGAAAAACTAGACATGGCTGTGTTCTTACCTGGAACCTCAGTGCTAAAAGGGAAGGCAGATCACTGGAGTTTATTGGCTGCTAGCCTGGTTCCACATTCATTAAGAGACATTGTCTCCAGGGATTAAGGTAGGAAATGATAGAACAGGACACTTCTTGTCCTCCACATATGCACATCCTATGTATGCATACAACACATATGCAACACACATTCATGTGTGTACACATAAACACAAATGTGTTGAGAAATAGTTTTCTGTATGAGGTGCACATGAAAGGCCATGTTGATATTACATGGTAAAAATTTGAGCATCAATTTCTTATTATAATGAGGGTAATAAAAATGGAAATAATGATGGTACCTATTTCATATGGTTATTTTGAAACTATATGATAAAATGTATATAAAGTGCCTAGAACAGTACTTGACACAAAGAACTAGATGAGTTAAATTCATTGCTTATATGCATAAATCTTTATTCTCTCTATTTCTGTGTGTGCATAAGTGTATACACACCTTGTATACACATGCAAACATTTCTGAATGGTAAGTCTTGATCAGTGGAACTCTGCTTTATAAAGTATTTGTGCCATAGATTTCTTTATGACAGTTTTGAGATTTAACTGTTAGTGCCTCAGATTCCTTTCCTGAAATGAGGATCTATCTAGTCCTGGACGTGCAGGAAGAAGGCAGCATGCCCTGGGATTTGGCTTCTTTTTTTTTTTTTCTTTGGTTTTTTTGAGACAGGGTTTCTCTGTGTAGCTTTGCGCCTTTCCTGGGACTCACTTTGTAGCCCAGGCTGGCCTCGAACTCACAGAGATCCTCCTGGCTCTGCCTCCCGAGTGCTGGGATTAAAGGCGTGCGCCACCGCCGCCACCACCACCCGGCTGGGATTTGGCTTCTTAACAAAGGACAATAGAGGCAGTTGCAGCAAAGTGCTCAAGCTGACTTGACCCTGAGTTTTCTTTCTAGCTGGGAGGGGACTGGGACCTAGGAACCTTGCACTAAACAGGTGTTGGATGTGGCCTGTCCCAGAAAGAAGAGTGGTCCTTAGTGAGGCATTCGTTGTTGAGGGCAGTTCCCAGGACAGTTGAAAGCTGTGGCTATTGTTACCCTGCATCTGGGAGAGTGGCCTTTCATTCTTGGGGTACAGATTCTACCCAGCCTGCCAGGGTATTTTTTTGCCACAGGGAATAAATCTGACCTGTGAACAGGAAGCATAGCTGTGTTCACTTAATTCAGAGGAGCAGAAGGATACATAGATCCAAGAGGTAAAGTTAGAGTTTTCTTTGGGAATTAATTGTTCTTTATTCCATTCTCCGTAGTATCATGCAGTTGCTTGGCGCATTTCCTTCACCCAGTGGTCCTGCCTCTCCTTGTAGTCTGGTGAATGAGACCACTCTGATCAAATACTCCAGGCTGCCAACCATAAACAAGCATAGTTTCCGGTACTTTGTCTTGGATAACAGTGTCATCCTGGCAATGCTGGAGCAACCGCTTGGAAATGAGCAGAGTAAGTTGTAGCACTCTTAGCTTTCTCTACTGCTCAAACAGTGTGTTCTCAGTTCTCTCAGGGAAGCAAAGACTGTGAATTCCAAATAACTATTTGTCAGAAAGACTTGAAGCTATAGGATAACATCACTGGAGAAACAGGTCAAAAAATAGACTGTGCAAATGAAGTAGAACTGTTTAAAGATTCTTTATGTGTGCTTGAAATAGCAAAGTGTCTCAACTTTTATGTAAAGTTTACCTTAGTGCGATATTTTATTTTTACTATTGATAAAAATCATTGCCATTCTGTCTTTCCTTGTGAACCTTGGATCCTGCCCCTCTATCCCTTTCCCTTCACCCATCATTGTTCTGTTTCAGTTACTACTACCCACACAGGCTAGAAAGTTGAGAAGTCATCTTCATTTCTTCCTCCTGTTCCTTCCTTATATCATTAGTCTCAGTGTCTCTACTGCCCCAGTGACTCTTGAATTTTCCCTCTGTATTCCTCCCAATATATCTAAATGCAAGGCCTTATTAATTTCTTACATTGATTTGTTGCATTTTCTTTCTGCCTGGTGTGATACCCCGTTGGCAGTTCAAAAATCTGCTTGCCCTACCACTGCCCTCCTTGCACCATAGTGTTCATCCTTAAGCATGTAGATGTGATCTGCTGAAAAAACTTCAGTGATTGTTCATTGACAAGACATGCACTCTCCCACAGTTAGGAGGCTCACAGAGGGCGTGTGATTTGCTTAGGTAACTTGAGAAGTATATAACTAGGATTCAAATTCAGGTTTTCCAAACAATACTATTTTCTGTTGTCCCACCACAGTAGGACTTCCTCACTGACTAAAGCCACACACAAAGGTAAGCAGAGTCCTGTACAGCTTCTGTTGACTATAAGCAGGATGTCATAATTCTACAGAAAGAGAGACCTAGCTCTGATAGCAATAGAAGGATACTATTTCCATCATGTTATGGTTAAGGTTAGTGACGATATTATGAAATAGAATGGCACTATTCATCACTGTCAGTTCTACCTTCTTTACCCCAGAGCTAAGGCTTGCCTGGCTTTCTCTCCCTGCTGCCTTCTTTTCAGTATTCCACCACCCTCCTACCCCTAAGCCATCTGCTGAACAGCCTGCAAAATCCTTTCGAATCCTTCAAATCCCTTTAAGTTTCTGGGTTCTCTTGCAAGTTTTTTTTAGGATTGCCTTACTCTTATTCCAAGTAATTTTACTGCATAGGTAGTCTACAAAAATAAAATAAAGAATAATTTTATAAATTAAGAACATTTTGTTTATTGAAATAGTTAATAACAGAAGAAATGAGAGAGTTTGACCCACTTTAATTCCCATAATGGAGACAAAGAAAGGGAAGAAAAAGGATCCTGAATTTTTACATGTCTCCATCCCTGAACTTCCGCTGGGAGGAAACAGTGTCTGCCTGTAGTTGCAGGACCCCAATCTATGAGCAAATGTATGTCAACACTGCACATAACCAGCCTGTTTTCTTTCATAAAGTTCTCTTCAACACTGGAAGTTTAAGAGTGTTTGCCATGATAGATACCATTTCACCAAAACATATGTGTAGAGGGCTGTGAGGATGTGAGGGAAGTAAAGTGGAGCGGTTGGTACAGAGTGGGGCAGTAGTGCTAACTCATGGACCTTAGCTGTGGCATTGCAGTTGAGGAGGCACTGTGCTAGGGCTTTGATCATGAAATGTTCTGCGGGATAGCAGGTTGTATATTAAGTGGTTGTTACCTGAAGTAAATATTTTTACACATCCATTTTATTCTAGATGATTTTTTCCCCTCTGTCACTGTGCTGGTTCGGGGAATGTCGGGAAGACTTGCTTGGGCTCAGCAGCTTTGCCTTTTACCCAGAGGAGCAAAAGCAAATCAGAAGGTACATCAGAAGTTACAGTGTGTGCAAGAGTACATATACATGGGTGCATATGATTGTGTGCGTGTGTGCATCCATGTGTGGGAGTGATTTAAAGGCTAAAAACAGACCAACAGAAAGTCAAAGGTTACATGTTTCTGATCCCTAGCAAGGTCCTCTGTCAATGAATTTACTTAAGAATCATCTTAGGAACCTAGACTTCCAGGTCTACTTAACTCCTTACAGGTACCTGTAAGTCAAAGGTAGTTTTCCAAAGTTTTCCTGGTGATGCTGATGCTCAATTAGGAATAAGGACTACTATTCTAAACAATGGTCCCAGGCATTTCTTTGCAGCTTTAAAAGTCAGATGCATGTCATATATGGGAAAAAATTGAGAGGTCTAACATGTAGGACTTAGTTTCACATTGTTTTGCATGATTCATTTTTTATAATTGTATAAAATAGCTACTATGCTATACAGTTTACTGCAATATTTTATAGTATTTGAAATTATGTGGCTATTTTCTGCTTGTTGGAAAGTTCAGATAAGAAAAGAAATGTTAAATCACTTGTAGTCACTTTTCAGTGAGAGCTAGCCATAGTTTGATAGTTCATGTTTTACTGAGTTTTCTTCAAATCACTTTTATTTCTGTATACAATTAACAGCTTAAAGAAATAAGCATTTGGTATACTGCTTTTTAAATTATAAATTGGGGGGGCGGGTTTGTTCGAGATAGGGTTTCTCTATCTAACAGCCCTGGCTTTCCTGGAACTCACTCTGTAGCCCAGGCTGGCCTCAAACTCACAGAGATCTGCCTGCCTCTGCCTCCCAAGTGCTGGGATTAAAGGCATGTGCCACCACACCAGGCTGGAAGCTTGATTCTTAAAAACTCTAAACTGCCTTAGTCGTTAACTTAGAATTGAATGTGGGTGACTGAGGTCTGGGCACTAGAGGTCTGCAAGCTATTTATTAGTCATGAAGTCTATAAATTGACAAACATTTTTAGAAAAATGAAATTCAGTACATAGTATATAGGTTTCTTACTTGTACCATTAGTATAGCATGTGCAGATTCTTGCTGAGCATTGGGGATACGCATGCCTCGGAAAATAGATAAAATAGATGCATTAAAGCAGACCAGGGACATGACTAGAAGACACATCATCACAGGTAGTTATTGGATTATGTGTAATATCCATAATGTCATTTGTGCTATTTTAACAGCTTTTTGTGCCAGAACCTCGTCCAATTCCTAAAAATGATGTTGGATTTAAATATTCTGTGAAACATCGACCATTTCCTGAAGAGGTGGACAAGATTCCTTTTGTAAAAGCAGATTTGAGCATTCCAGATTTACATGAAATTGTCACCGAAGAAGTAAGACAAGCTACTATTAACTCTTTCTAAAAGGATAAATGCAAACATTTTTAGATGGTGTATGTAGTCAGGCATTGCCTTTAGTGTTAGGGAGGAGAGGCAGAAGATGACTTGGGTCTCTGTCATCTGGACGTGGACATGTCAGAGGATGGGATGTGTAGATTTGGGCAGTTGATAAGAACTAAACATCTTTTAGAGACAGGGTCTTTGGCTGCCTAGGCTCTTCATAATAGGTTTCAGTAGTATATGATAACATGATCAAACTCTGGTAATAAGGGCATACATTTTGATAGTACAGGAAGTGTGGTTAGGGTTGGAGAGAAATACAACCCTTGAAAGTGGTTCACATCTGAGACTCAGAAGCATTTGTTCATGTGTGATCTAAGTAGTTAAGGTTGAGGTGGTTGTATAATTAAGCCAGTTTATTTAGAAGTATCTTCACATATGAGGGGGTGAAACTTTAAAATAGGATTGACCAAAAGGTAAGGAATCATATGGGTAAGTTTAAAACACAAGGATAGATTCTGTTGGGTGAAGATAACCATCCAGGGCTCCAGTGAGAAAACAACTCTGCCCCTCCAAGAGCAGAGTTTTAGTGTCTTTTACAGCCAGGAGATGAAGAAGCAATTGGTTAGGCTCTGGGGAAGAATTTTCAGATATAGATCTAACTTTGAACCATGTTTGTTTAATTCTATGCTCTTATGTTTAACTGAAACATATTGTTGACCAATAAAACTTAGCGTTTTCTTTGTTGTGTTTTACTTTAATTTTGTTTTAAAATCAAAAGAAACTTAACTTCATTGTAAGGGAATCCTCTAAAAATATCTGACTCATTTCAGTTAGAAGAGAGGCATGAAAAATTAAGAAGTGGTATGGCCCAGCAGATTGCTTATGAAATACACCTGGAACAGCAGAGCGAGGGAGAATTGCAGAAGAGAAGCTTCCCTGACCCGGTTACGGATTGTAAGCCTCCACCTCCTGCCCAGGAATTCCAGACAGCCCGCCTTTTCCTTTCTCACTTTGGATTTTTGTCCTTAGAGGCATTAAAGGTAATTTTTAGGAAATTCTATGAATAAATGTTTTCACAAATTAACCATTGAGCTATAATACTTTTATCAAAATGAAGAAAGGTTTAAAACAAGTGAACAACAACAACAAAAAACCCAGCTTACACTTATTCTGCATGAAGGTCAGTGGAATTCTGTGCTGCTGTTGTGGGTTCAATATGGGCTCCAGGACAGGGCACCTGGGAAGGGACTGCTTCAGTGATAAGTCCAGCTCTGAATTGGCTCTTTCATGGTACTCTTTAAAAGAATGAAGCTAATTCTGTAGTACTCTAAAATTTTCATCTGTTAATTTAATATGTTTGGTCTTTGGTTTATAGTTCTAAGGATTGAATATAGGGCTGTGCACATGCTAGGCAAACACCCTGCCAGTGAGTTACATCCTCAGCCCCAATTCTGTACTATTGTAACACAAGCCATACTTATATGTTGTCTATGTTTTATAGTTGGTAAGATTAGCTAATCGTGGTAGCTTGTGCTTATCATGTGGAGTCAAAAGTTCAAGACCAGCCTGGGCTACATAGTGAGAGCCTGTCTTTAAAGAAAATTAAAATAGACTGGGGCTATATGCCCTAGTATTGTAGATAGTAGGTAGGTAGATAACTTACCTGAAAAGTGCAACTGACCTGACCATAGGTCATTTAATTTTTTTTAGGAACGTGGAAAGACATTGGTGTTCAATTTCGATTTCAGCATGTAAAGAGAATATGTTTTATAATATAGAAAATAGTTTGAGATGTGTATGGCAAACATAAAACCTCTTAAAATGGAAAAGGAAAGAACCAGGCTTGATGGCACATCTTTAATCTTCCTAGTGTTTTAGAGGCAGAAGCAAGCAGCTTAATTTCTTAGAGGCCAGCCTCTACAGAGTGGGTTTCAAACCAGTGTATAGTGAGACCATCTCCAAATAAATTAAATAAATGCAAAATAAAAGATCAGATAGTACAAAACAATAGATATAGAAGTAAATAAGGAAGGCACAAAACAAAGATCCAGCCTACAAATCATCAGTGATATTCCTAGTGGAGTAAATTATCATAGTAGAAGCAGTAAATCAAAATATTTGGGATGAAAATTATTAAATCCTTTAATTGCCTTGTTCCTGAGAGTGTAGTTTTTCTATTCATGTTAATATTTTAGAATATTTAAGGTTTTAAGAAAATAATGTTCATTAAAAATTTTTCTACCAGAGTTTAAGAAAATGTTAGCAAGTTACAAGTTTATTTTTATGAATCTTAGCATATTTCTAATAATTTAAATAAGATATTACATACTTTAAAGGACAACTGCAAACCAATTTTATGAATAAATATACAAAAGTATTAGGATACTAACTGAATTCTGAGTCAATAGCATGTTAAATGAATTCTCTTACAACTTAGTATGATTTGTCAAAGAATGTAAGGAGAATTGATTATTGGAAAATATTAGTAAAACTACTAAGAAAATAATTTGACTCCATCAAACAAAGTAAATCAAGATTTTGTAGAACAATATTGATCTGATCTTAATAATACCCTCAAATTTATTCATGGTCCATACCTTAAAGGTCTTTGAAGTGTCAGCCCCTCCAACAAGTTAGAGGCACCTTTTGTAAAAATAAGGTAATTTGTACCTTGACCGTATGGCAGTATATAACAATGAGAAATTTTCAGACAGTGAGTTTTTTAACTTTTGCCCTAAAGTCATTGTTGATAAATAAATGTTGAGGAAGATTTCCACCTGTGGAAACATCTTACACTACAATGGGAAAATGAAGAAATAAAAATGAAAATAAGCTACATAAGAGATTTCATTGGAAAGGAGACAGTTTGAAGGGAGTATGACTTCTTAACTGGGTAACCATCAATAAAATATTTAAAATAAATGTGTTAAGTTAATGGCTATTTGTAAGATCCACCTCAAAGTACAATGTGATTGGTGAACTCTTAATGTCTTAGCTGGGAGAGGTGCATGTGCAAAGGCCTATGCAAACAGTTTGATCCTGGACCCCACAGAGGTAGAAAGCTGACCCCCAAAAGTTCTCCTCTGACCATCACATAGGTGCATGCATACACTTTACAAAATAAAAGAATAAAAATTTTAACTGCATTGTGAAGTTAGGTGTGGCAGTGCACACTTTTAATTCTAGCGCTCTGGAGGCAGAGGCAGAGGCAGGCAGATTTCTGTGAGTTTGTGGCCAGCCTGGTCTACATGGTTGAGTCCTAGTTGAGGCTGCATAGTGAGATCCTATTTCAAAAATAAATAAACAACAAAACATATACGCACACAACCCAAGGAATGTGAAAATATTCCATCTGCAACTGAAATACTAACACGAAATACATGTACCTTAAAAAAAAAATAAAAAAACTTTGTGCAAGAGCTACAGGAAGAAACTTAACAGAAGAACACCGGTATGTGAACACTGCTCACATGGTGTCTACAGCATGCCAACATCCATAGTTCCTCTTCCACAATTTCTAAGTAAAAGAGGAAAACTGGAAGGTCTGACTTTATTTTTTTTTTTTAATTTTATTTATTTCATGAACATTAGTGTTTTGCCTGTATGTATGTCTGTGTGAGGGTGTCAGGTCCCCTGGAACTGGAGTTATAGATAGTTGTGAGCTGCCATGTGGGTGCTAGGAATTGAACCGGGATCCTTTGGAAGAGTAGTTGGTGCTCTTAATCTCAGAGCCATCTTCTCCAGCCCTCTGATTATATTTCAAAAAAATTCATTGAGTGGCAAAAATCTGAGCACACCTTTAATCCCAGCACTTGGGAAGCAGAGGTAGGTGGATATCTGAGATCAAGGCCACCTTAGAGAGACCCAGACCAGGCAAGGACACATCATAAGACCTCATCTCTAAAAATCAAAACGAAAACCTCTGCCTTGAATTGGCATAGAACTGTTTGTAATCTTCTCCTATGACTTGTCTTCCATTTGTATCAGGAAGATAATATCTGTGGTCAGTGTTTCCCAAGCCTTGGTAGGAATTTTAAGGTTCATATTAACAGATCAAGCTCAGAACCTCTACTGTGTGAAAAAGAGTAATTCTTACACCCTGGGAGTGGCTTTTCTAAAATAACAACGAAATCATAAACTGAGTAAAACTTTGTTTTGTTAAAATTTTATTTTGCAAGATCAAAGAAGGTAAGGGATTAGAAGAAAAATGAAACAAAAATGAATTTGGAAAGTTAATGGATTTTGTATTTTTCAAGAACTTTTAGGTTCTTGAAATATCATGGGTTGTGTGTGTATGCGTGCATTGGCATGTGCATGCTACCATGTGCAGAGTCCCCATTGCCACCACAGATCCCTGTAAACACTGGTCTCTTCTATTTCCTGTGTTGTTTTGCCTGTTCTAGAATGGCACATCGTTGGAATCTTGTAAATGCAGTCTCAGACTGTTATTTTTCCACTCACTTATTAACAATGCATTTAAATTCTTTCATGTCCTTTTAGGATTTATTATGTCATTTATTTTCATTAATAAGCCGTTTGTTTATTCACCTATTGAAAAACATGTTGGCTGCTTATATCTGTTGGCAGTTATGAATAAAGCTGCTATAAAATTCATGTCCATCATGTTCTGTGGTTAATTAAGCTTTTCTCTCATTGGGGAAAAATACCAAGGTATGCAGTAGCTACATTGTATTTAAGATAGTATGTTGGCAAGAAACTGTCACTTATTATTGTCCAAAGTAACTGTAGTGTTGCATCTGTGTGAGCAATGGGTAAGTTTTTAAAATACATTTTAAAAAGCTCTAGAGGGGCTGGAGAGATGGCTCAGCTTTTAAGAGCACTGGCTACTCTTACAGAGGACACAGATAGGAATGCCCAGCACCCACATGGCTGCTAACAACCATCTGCTAACAACTCCAGTCTCAAGAGTATCCTATGCCCTCTTCTGGCCTCATGGGCACCAGGCACACATGTGGTGCACATTCATATATGCAGGCAAAATGACACATGTAAAATAATTAAATCTAAAAAAATTTTTTTTTTACATTTTGTAAAGCACATCTTCTAGAGCAAACAGGCTCTCAAATTATATTCACACTGTAACATCAGTTTTCTGAAGCAAATAATAACTTGAAGCATAAACACACTAAGTAGTTTCTTTAGGATCATGGTTATACTCCTGCTACATTATAATTATTTATTTTTTATTAAAATGAGAAAATGTGGGTGTGGTGACAAACATCTATAATCCTAGTACTTAAGAGGCTGAAGCAAGAGTGCAAATTCAAGGACATCCAAGGCTACATAGTGAGTTGGAGGCTACCCTGGCTGCCAAGTTATACTGAGACACTGTCCTAGAATGGAAACTGTAAATGCTGATTTATAATTGGAGTAATGTGGTGATAACAATTGCTCCTCTCTTGTGTGACAGGAACCTGCAAATAGTCGTCTACCTCCTCACCTCATTGCACTCGATTCTACCATACCTGGGTTTTTTGATGACATTGGGTATCTGGATCTCTTGCCATGTCGTCCTTTTGACACAGTTTTTATTTTCTACATGAAACCAGGTCAGAAAACAAACCAAGAGGTAAGAACTCGGAATTTCCCCCCTCATCTGTGTTATAAACATACAAGACTTTTATGTCAGCAGTTTGTACTTGACATGAGAATTTTGTATTTATGCTCAAGACTTGTTTCACCTAGAAAGTGAACACTCATGATTCTGAAGCCTAGTGTCCTGAGCCTTTCTACCCTCAAGAAGCATGGCTAGGTAGGAGTGAGTGTGGATGTGGATTCCTTTTCCTTAAGGAATTTGTACTCCTAGGCCAAGGAAACTAAAACAGCTGAAGGTTAGCCACAGGGAGCCAGAGCAAGGCCTGAAGCTTCAGAGTAGGACAGCAGTCTTAAACATTTCCTGATCATCTTCCCTGGGGCTTCTGCCAGGTAGAAGTGAGCAGCAGGCTTTCTCCTTACAGGTAACTCTACACTAAGCCATTTCAGCCAAGGTAAAGCATAAAACATGATGGAGGAAGGCACAGTTGGATATGGGTTACAGAAAAGACTAAGAAGGTGGAGAAGGGATGTATAAGTAGGTGAGCATGGAGAGTCAGAGGAATGGCAGGGGATCTGAAGTTTCTGTTGGAAGCAAGTAGTGAAACAGGCTAGACGGTGGCTGTGACTAGAAGAGGGTCAGAAGACGTTAGGGTGCTGTGACCGAAGGATTCGAATTGCAGTATCATTACCCTAAGTCATTAAATTAATACACCACCCCTGTAGAAATTGACTGGCGTTACAGAGTGTTTCAAATTGTGCATTAGTGAGCTGCTAAAGATCCCAGAACTCGGGAGGCAGAGCCAGGCGGATCTCTGTGAGATCGAGGCCAGCCTGGGCTACCAAGTGAGCTCCAGGAAAGGCGCAAAGCTACACAGAGAAACCCTGTCTCGAAAAACCAAAAAAAAAAAAAAGAGTTCATGAGAAAGTTCTTTTCCTTCTCTTACTGACTCAGCACACACTCATTAAGTTTCTGCTTTCTGGTAGGCTCCAGGGTTACTGATAAACAGGATCTACGAAGTAGGCCATAGAATTATCTAAGGGAAGGCAGACCCTGAAGAAGCACTTATAGCATGTTAACAGGGGTGTTAAATTGTGCCTTAGGAGCCTGAGAGACCTAATCTGATTTAAGGTTCTGAAACAAGGCCATTTCAGCATTTTCTGAATATACACTGACTACAGCATAAATTCTCCAGAGGAAGAATATTTGCATCTTTATGAAATTCATCATGGTGCCAATATGTTTGGAGCTTTTGAGAAGGGAGGATGGTGGCAACCAGCAATGAGACTTTGTGTTATTTTATTAGAACCCCAGTAAATTGGATTAGTAAGACTAGGGTGTTGTTCACATGAAAGTATGGGGCAGTTTTTCTCCTGCCTATAAAAGACACAGGCCCTGAGGCACTGCCTAATCCATTTTGTTTCCTTGAGCTTCTGGGAGCTGTGGGTGATCAGGAAACAATAAAGGTTTCTGGAGACTTCTTAAGAATGTCTGAAACCTTTCTCTTCCTAGTCAATGGAGATTAATTTATGGATGCTAGCAGGTAAGTTGCAAGGTGCATTTGAATCACCTGTTGCTTCTTGACTAAATTTTCTAAGTTAGTTATTTACAGACTTCACATCTAGCCAGGCTACAGTGTAAGATCAAAGCTTCAAAGAAACCTGGGGTTCTATAGTGAGACCCTGTTTCCTAATACCAAAGGAGGGGCCAATGTGAGGATCCTTGGATAAAGGATCTTACTGTTAACCAAGTCTAGTGGTCTCAGTTGGATCCCTAGACCCACAGGAAAGAGAAAGTGACTCCTAGAATTGTGTTCTGACCTTCACATGCTTGCTGTGGCAATTTGCACACTCTTGCACTTTCTCTCACTCTTTTTTGCTCTCTGGCTCTCTCACACAATAAATAAATAATAAGTTAATCAGTGTTAAAAAAGAATTTGAGAACTATGGGTGAATAAAACAAATATGCTTATAGAGATTGATTCTGTGTACAAAAGAAGATTGTGACAG